TCTGTTGGGAACAGAAAGTAAAAACTACAAGGATCTGTCTAAAAATGTTGTCCTGAAGACCTGGAAGCTGCCTTTTTTTTTTTTCACCTTTTGCCCTGTATTTCTTCCTGCTATTTTCCGGTTTCTGCATCCTTGTGACAACAGAAATCTTTCCCTCTGCCCTGAGTGCAATATGTTTCTTGTTGAGGACAGGTTACAGTGCATAATGAGATACTTCGCCTAGCCATAAGGATCCTATTGCCTGCTGCTGTCCTGGAAACCATCTGTTATTACTAGTAATGGCTCTGGCATAAGGCTAGGAGACTGGGTGGAAGTGGTTTGACCTTGATTATGCCATTTATGGGATAGACAGCTCTGCATCAGTTTTCTGCACATCTGCTAAGAACAGTTTCCTGACATTTGTATTGCATGGCATAATTCTTTGCTGGACCTGATTAAAGCTTGTTCATTCATTTTGAACTCTCTCTTCTTGGCCATGTGGAACCCAGCAAGAATTACAGACAAGACGTTTTGGTCCCACAGAAATTACATTTGCAGTTACCCACAGGGAAGAAGAAATGGTCTGTGATGTCAAAGGGCAGATCTTATCAATCACCCAGGAAAGTTTCAAATCAGATCTGCTAGAACAAAACATTTACAGTATACGTTAGGAAAGAGAAAACCTTTTCTAGATCAAGTAGAGCTCTGGCTGAGTGCCCAGCCTTGCTGCCAAACAGCTGGCCTTCCTGTTGGAGCAGAAAGTAGAAAAAGGCAGTATGTTTCTCTGAAGGAATCTATACAGAGGTTAACAGAGGTAAGAGACCTTGTTCCCACAGACCAAAATTGCTTGGAGACTTCACTAATACCCATTCCGAATGCTTTCCGGAGAGCATTTAGGAAAACTGGTTTACTTAAAATGAAAGCACATTCAAAGGCTGCAATTCAAAATGCCCACAGAGACGTGCTTCCTTAGGCTGATAAATATGCTGTTATGGAAAACAATCTCTATAAACAGTAGAGCTGTACTTTGAATTTTGTACTTCTGCTTACAACTTATGCGACGCTCACGTACTTGAGAACATATTTTAGTTGCAAATCACTAATAAATGTAGGACCAAACTGCTTCTAGTCAGAACCAGCATTTCCCTTTCTGCTCCTCCTGCAAACAGTATTTTGCCTAAAATTCACCAGCACAAACAATTCTATGTTAAAGTCTTGATATTATTTTTTTGAAAAACAAGAAAAAAAAAACAACAAAGGAACACTGTGCTTCAGTAAGCAATCTTTTCTCCACAGTTATTTCCCAGATAGGGACTAATACTGTCAGACTAATGAGAATAGTAATGACATACTAATAACAAAGTCATCCGAGTGACTTACAAAAGCTTGCTTTTCCTAGCTGGCCACAGTCTCACTTTGCTTTCTGCTGATTCTTGGAAGGCCCCTTTGCTCAGCCTGCACGTATATGGGCCAGTCGGCATCATAGTTATTCTTACATGAGTACTTCACCTAGGGGAAGTGGATAGAGAAGTTAAAATTCCATGTGTGAACCATTTGTGCTAATGGCTGTAGAGCAGATTTTGTATTTACATCACCATTTCAGGGAAATATATGCTGCTAAAAGGAAATTAATTCAGGGAAAAAAAATATGTTATGAAAGTAGCATTTGGGGTTACAAAGGCAATTGTAGCTTGTCACCTGTTATGTCTACTTGGAATTGAAATTAAAAGCTGTTGCAATGGCAATTCATCTAGTATGAAGAATTAGGAAACAAAATACAATTGCTTCACTTTTATGGACCTTTGCTAGTAACCCTTTGAAAAGTAGTAATTACATATTATCCACTGGGGATTGAAATGTCTACCTTTCAAAACACTGCCTGACAGTTTCAGAGTTTCAGCTGTCAGTTCACTTAAAGCAACTAACAAAAGGCTTTTGCCTGCAAGTGCCATGTAATTGTTTTACTTTGCAGTTTTATAACATAAAGCTTTGTATTGGCAAGGTTTTGGCAGAGGTGGGGCTACAGCAGTAGTTTCTGTGAGAAGCTGCCAAAAGTTTTCCCCATGTCTAACAGAGCTAATACCAGTTGGCTCCAACATGGAAGGGACCAATGCTGGAGCAGTCTGTTCCTGAAGGGCTGCACCCACAGAAGGGACCCATGCTGGAGGAGTCTGTTCCTGAAGGGTTGCACCCTATGGAAGGGACACACACTGAAGGAGTCTGTACATGAAGGGCTGCACCCATGGAAGGGTGCCACACTGGAGGAGTTCATGAAGAACTGCAGCCCATGGGAAGGACTCACATTGGAGAAGTTCATGGAGGACTGTCTCCTATGAGAGGGACCCCAGGCTGGAGCAGGGGGAGAGTGTGAGGAGTCCTCCCCTGAGGAGGAAGGGGCAGCAGAGACAGCATGTGATGAACTGACCACAGCTCCATTCCCCATTCCCTTGTGCTGCTGGAGGGGAGGAGGTATTGAAAATCAGAAGTAAAGTTGAGCCTGGGAGGAAGGGAGGGGTGGTGGGAAAGTTTTAAGATTTAGATTTGTTCCTCATTATCTTGCTTTGATTTGATTGGTAATACATTAATTTCCCAAATCAAGTCCGATTTGCCCATGGCAGTAATTGCTGTTGCTGTCCTTATCTCAACCCACAAGTTTTTTGTTACATTTTCTCTTCCCGTCCACTTGAGAAGTGCAGTGATAGAGCAGCTTTGGTGTGCACCTGTTGTCCAGCCAGGGTCAACTCACCAGAAGGGAAAACAGGTACTTCTAACCACAACTTTAAGAAAAAAAAAAAAAAAACAAAAAAAACAAAAAACAGCAAATAACCAAAGTAGGGAGTTCCAGCAACTACTTTACAAAGGGAAGAGAAACTGAAGGAAGAGATTCTTCAACCAGGGATAGCTACCTGGTATTCTAGTGAGAACACCAGACCTTGATGAGCAAAGGAAATAACAAAATGAGGACTGAATCAGAGATCACACGTATGCCAAGTTTTGAATGGAACTTGATTTTTTTTATATCTAGTTTTACTAGAAAGTGGACTCGTCAATAAAAAAAAAAAAAGTCATGGATATGATCACATAGCTCTTTCTTTACTGTTTCTCCCTTTCAATAGTGCAAGAGAAGTGGGGCCCTCCCTCTCAGAGCAGCTGGAACACATGGCTTCATTAGTGCTCCCTCTTCAGATCCAGCCACCTGTGTCCTCTCAGAAAATTGACAGGTAGAGCAGGGACAAATATCATCACTCCTAGGCTCTTGCTAGCACATTGGTCATCTTCAGAAAGACATTATACCAAATGTTGTACCAATTGTGATACACATTTTTTCATCTCCATGAACAAATTACCAGTTGCTTCCACCATCCACTTGTACAAAACAAGAGATAATGTACTGGTTTTGCTTTCAAAGCAAACATGGTAAATGAGGCATGGGATGTGCAAAACATGTTTCATTTAGAAGCTCAACAAGAAGTTCCATTTGTGCAACTCTTGCAAATGCAAACCTTGTTTTACCCTCATCCCTTCAGTTGCCTTGCAATAGGCATTTCCACCATTTCACATCTGTTTTTGTGTGGGCACATGCAAGCTGACAGACACTTTGCATCACTGCAAAAAGTGGTGGAATTGTACCCAAAGGTCTGTTTTCCTCACAAAACAGACTACCATAGGTAGGAAAGACTGCCCAACAAGTGCAACTTATTGGTAAAACTTAACAGCATAGAACAAGCTGGACATTCTCAAATTAACAAGCAAGTGTCTGCTAGAGGTGTTTTTTCTCCCCAGACAGGCTGTAAAAACTGTGTTAGGCACTCAGTACCTCTTGCCTGCTTTGCCCATTTTAATTCCTCAAAAAGACAGCAAGCTAGCTGAATCACACTAAAAATAGTTGAAACAGCAGGCACTACAGTTGTCTCAAATGAAAAGTTCACCATGACCTATCAACAGAAGAGAAACCCAAACAAGTAACCTCTGCTTCTGTTAATTCTGCTCTAACTGCAAGTGTAGAGAATCTCAGCCACATACTTGTTTTTTTTGTAATTCAGAATGTATCACTAGACAAAAAAAAAAAATCTTGTGACTTTTAATGATTTTTTTTGAGTACATCTTGTCAAGTTCCCATATCCATCTATGTTATTCTAATACAACCTTACTATTGCAAGCCTCAAGACCTCATTTGAGATATTGAAATCAATGGTACAAAAGCCTTGGCCAACCTTCACAAGTTGCAGCAAGGATTATTAGCAGGAAAAAAAGTACTCAAGCAAGACCCTGCAAACCATTATTAGTAGAGGATTTTGTCTCTGTTAAAAATTGCTACAGGTATTATACCCAGTAGCAAGCATACATGTTTTCTCCTTCTGGAACAGGCAGAACAGAGTTCACTTTCACACTACATGTTCTCAAGAAAATATTTTTCAGTATCAGATATTTTCAAACAGAGAAAATCTGTAAGCTGCTGAAAGGGGAAGGGAGCATGAGTGAAGTGTGAGAAATAAACAGGATATTGTTTAAACAAAAGGCAGTTCTAGCATTTGACCAAGTTGATTGTATGCTTTTCACCAATGTACCTTGGTCTTGAAATACAGGAAAGTTAGAAAAGACCCATAATATCATCAAGTTCAGCCATTAACCTAGCACAGCCAAGTGCATCACTAAATCATGTCTCTAAATGCCACACCTACATGCCTCTTTTTAAAGACCTTCAGGGATGGCAATTTCACCTGGGCGCTTCCCTAGGCAGCCTGTTCCAGTTCTTGACAACCCTGTTGGTGAAGAAATTTTTCCTCCAATCTAACCTCATGTTGTTTGAGAGAAGAGACTGACACCCACCTTGCACCATCCTCCTTTTAGGCATTTGTAAAGAGTGATAAGGTTTCCCCTTAGCATCCTTTTCTCCAGGCTAAAAAAAAAAAAAAGCAAACCAGTTCCCTCAGCCATTCCTCTAATGAACTGCCTCAAATTCTGCACTTTACTCAAGGAAGGTTCCAGCAGTATAATGAGAATATAAAATATAAACACACAAAGCACAAAACTGTCTTTATTTTTTTAAATATCCAATTAACTCAAATTTCTAAACACACTGATATTAACATCCCATAGACCTTAGCTTTTCTTGTTCATGAAAAGAGAAAGGACACAGATCAGCTGTCAAGCATCATATCCCTATCCTACTATAGGTTAACCATAAATTAACATTATGTAAGCAAATAAGATGAATTTTTAGTCAAGATAAGTAGCAGCACAGCACCACAGCAAAACTGAGGCATCAATACAAATTTTCTGTAAACTATGATAAAGACTACCAATTACAGAGAGCCACAGCTCTTAAATATGAGGATACATACTTAACACTAAGCAGTTTCTCACTGTTTACTATTAAAATAATGTCTGCCTTTTCATAAAGGCCAAAAAATAAAAATAAAAAGAGGTGGTAGATTAGAGAGTAAAGTGCTGCAGCCAGACTTTGTTTTTACTGGTTGCTTGTCCTATTAGTGAGGTGTGTTTTTTTTTAATAACAAATACCCCTAAAGATATATTAGTTTACCATAAACTATGCAAGTATTTAAACTATGCAAGAGTAGACAGTGCTCTTTGAATCCTATATTCTTCCCCTAAACCAGATTTTGATAGCGGAATGATTTAGATACCAGGCGTTAGAAAAACTGCCACAGGGATGCTATATGGTTTAGAAATATCTTAACATCTAAGACTAGGTTTCTAAAATTCTCTTCAGAATATGCTTTAAGTGATCCTACTGAACTTCTTTTGTCCAGTAACACCACTTTAGTACTTTTAACATACTGAAGAATAAGTCATCTTCCTCACTGTCCTCTCCCTAGGGTACTTCATGCTCATCAGAACAGCTAGGATCAAATATCAAATCATAGTGTAATAACAAAAAAAAAGGGAAGCCTCAAACTTCCTGTAAAACACTAAGGAAAGATATAAACACTAAATAAATTATTAAACAATCTGAAAATTGAGTAATGACACTAGTATTAAAGGAACAGATACTATTAAATGCTCTTGGAACTGGACATTTTGGGTATTAGCGGAGAGCAGGATCGGTCATCCTTGTCAATGCTGTGAGGAACAACTGGCAGTCCAAGGGTTTAACTCTAGATAAGTTATCGCTGCAGGATTGCCAGTTTTCCTCCCATCCTTCCTTTGACTATTTCAGCCTATAACAATAGAACTTTTTGCTGCACAACTGAATATATCCTTAAAGATAGCCAGAACTTTACTGCAGCAAGTACTGCAATAAACATGGCAGAAGCTTGGGTCACAAAGTCCTTTTTCACTGCTCATTTCCTGAATGTACTTTTTCTAAACTTGCATTTAATTTTAAATTTTAATTTAAAGGTAAAGCTCATCATATGCATTACTCTGGTTACTACAGCAGTGTAACTCAACAGCAAACACAGAATTTTGAGATAAAGCTTACTGCAATGCCAAACTGGAAAACTCAACATCTGGCAAACTTGTATTACTGATTTCTTTAGAAGAACATAACCCAAATATCAAGTGTAAAGAGATCAGAAGATCGGGAAATTTGATTTCCTTTGATTTCTAAAGCGTATCAGCAGCAGGTTTTGTTTTTTGTGGGAAGCTGTTCTGTTTGTTGGCTTTTTGGTTTGGTGGTTTTGGTTGGTTTTGGGTTTTTTAATTATTATTTGTTTGTTGGTTTGGGTTTGTTGACTTTGTGGTGGTTTTGTTTGGCTGGTTTTGGTTTGTGGTTTTAGGTTTAAGTTTTCTGTAGAATTTCTTAGAATTTTCTTTTTCAGCACTTCTGAAAAATTCTTTAGCATCACAAGCATGCAAAGGATGCAGATATGCCTTAAACTTGAAAGTCAGTATACCTGGGATTCAGTCACATTTCTGAAACCCTTCTGGAGTCCTTCAGGAGAAAAATGTAGGTGTATGAGAACTGACATTAATAAAATGAGCAGCACTAGAAAACTCCAGATTTTTTGATTATAAAATCATCTGGTGTTACCACAGGAGTAGGAAGACACTTGAATTTTTAAAACAGAATAGTAAGGAGTTCTTGTAAAAATCCAAGGTTTTTTTATAAAGTAACTCAGAAAACATTACACAATTGTTCACAGTCCTGTACTGGCCTAAGTATCCCACAATACATAATGTCTTCCAAAAAACAGTCTGGAGTGAGAAAACAGATTAATATTGAGATACTTATCAAATTCCGAGGTAGGTGACAATCTATTATTTGAGAAAGGTAGCACAAAACTGTTTATGTAAATGGTGTTAAGTCTTACCTATGCAGAGGAGGAAGAGCACTGTCTTTCACCTAACAGCAACTATATTCATCTAATGTCCTTGGTCTGCATCATCAGTTCTCCTGGAAACGCAGGTTGGTGGAAGAAAGGATTAGGAAAGCATAGGGAGAAAACTGACCCCATTTGTGTAGGCTGGCAAGTAACACACCATCCAGACTGCAGTGAGGGTGACTGGACTAACAGCATAATCCTCAGAACAGTAGCTATATTGAGTGGAAACAGCAGAAGCCTGCATAGAAAGAAAAGGAAGCACTAGAAGTCCCATACAGTATTTTCCATAATGTGACACATTGCCTAATGTATTTATGATGGTGCTCCACTGTTGAAAAAGAGTTTCCATTCCTATTAACCACATCCATCAGATTCCAGGTTTTCATGAAAAGGAAAAGCAGTAATTCACTAGTACTGATGCAAGGCCTTTGTCACAGTGATGATCAGAGTACCACCCGTAAAGTATTAGCTGTTACAGAAAGCATCCATTTCACAAACCAATGTTAAAAGGACAGCTCAGTACACAAATGGAATCACAATTTTTCTGTTCTTCGGGTAGTCTTCAAATTTCTCAAGGTACCATCTGAAGAAGAAAGACAGGGATCTCATGAATACTGAATCTTCAAAATGCTGTCAAGAAAATTATGTAACTTTACAATGCATTTAATTTAATCCGTATATTCTAAAACTACAAACAACTAAAAGGAGCTTTTAGAACATACTCTGGATAGAAAATTGTTTTCCCATCCTCACCCTATGACATCTAACCACCAGCTATAAGGAAACAAAGTTACTGCTGCAGGCAGTGGGAAATCAAATCAACAGGTATGGTGAGAGCAGCCAGGAAAGGAAGGAATAGCCTGCTGTTGCAAAATAATATTGCTGTGCATCCTGAATATTTGCATTTTAGAAGTACAGGGAAAGAAGAATCCAAAGCATTCAAGGGGATAACATGTCAAATTGTATGACTTCATGTGGAAGCAAGGAATACTTCATATAATGGAATGACAGTCCTCTTGTGATCATCAGCTCCAGTCAGAATATAGATAAAACTGAATGTGACAAACATTACACTACCCTTACTGCTAATCCCCCTCAAAGACCACCACCATTTTCAAATCTAGACTTTATAACACAAACACATTTACTCCCATTTTCAAGTATTTATCCTTCTGCTTCTCTAAGATTACAAAAGAAATTAACTTCATCTGGGCTCCTTGGAGGTGCAGGTACTAATACTAGCTAACTGCAAGATCAAAGCTGAAGCAAGCAGCATGCAATGTATGATAATCTGCAGCTGTGGAATGCCAGCATTACACTATCTATCCTTTTCAGTAACTTAAGTGTTTCACACTAAACAGATTACATCAAAATATTTCTTGACTTACATGGATTTGCTATTTTTAATAGTTTGTTGTTTTTTTCTTTCTGTACCCCTCTTCCATTTATGCATTTTTCCTTTAGTGCCAATTACTTCCTGTAACATTTACCTTTTCATAAAGCCCTGTTTGTCAAGAGCTCTGAAAGAGTTCTGTCAAGGCATAATAAGATAGAACATAATATACAAGGAGAGGCTGAGGAACCTGGCATTGCTTTGTCTGGTGAGGAAGAGACTAAGAGTCACTGCTATTGTTGCCTACAAGTATTGGAAGGGGAGTTAAAGACAATGGAGCCAAACTATGAATGAAATGCAAACTTGGCAGCTGGAATGCAATGGCCCCATGCAAAAGTACAGGCCAGAGACTGACTGGCTAGACAGCAGCTGTGCATGAAGGGTATGGACATCCTGGTGTACAAGTTGAACACAAGTCAGTACGGATTCCTGTAATGATGAAGGCTAACTGCATACTGTCCTGCTTTAACAAGCATAGAGCCACCAACTGCTTATTCTCCACTGTTCAGCAGTTAAGAGCCTGCATCTGCATTACTGTCTCCAGTTTTTGGCTTCCTGTGCTACAGAGATGTCCACAAACTGGATAAGAATCCAGCAGATGGCCACTAAGATGACTACATCACTGGAACACATAAAAGGAGAGGTTCAGGGAACTAGGCTTGTTCGGCCTGGAAATGAAGTTAGGAAGTAATTGCAGTCTTCTGCTACCTACCACCATATTAGAGAGAAAGCATAACCATATCCTCCCTTTTAAGCACACAGCAAGTGGACAAGTGGCAGGGGATAAAAGTTGCAGCATGGAAAATTTCAACTAGATGCAAGGAAGAAACCCTTTTCCCAGTGAGAATGGAGAAAACCCTGTTCCAGTGCTTTGCCAGAGATGTGCTTAAGCCTCCACTCTTGAAGACACTCAGAACTCAACTGGACAAGTCCCTGGGCAACTATGTATAGCCTTGCAGTTAGCCCTGGATGGAGCAGGTTACGCCAGATGACTGGACAACCTTTGGATGCTCCTCCCACCTAAGATACTCTGTGACTCCAGAGAAATAGCAAGTCGTAAAACAAGGAGAGATGGTCACAGACGATAGGCTTGGAAGGTGCAGGCTGCTTGTTCACTGAGAAGATAATACAGATCTGGAACACCCTACGTACAAGCTGCAGGAGAACATCTGTTTCTGGAGATTTTCAAGACCCCACTAGACATAGCCACGGCTGCCCTGACAGGCTGTTAGCAATGTTTTGTTGGGTTCCCCTCCCCCAACCTATTTCCTCCATAAATTCATGTTTATTTCCTCTCATGTCACTATGTTTGAGCATGAGAACCAAAGCAGGAAGCTGAAAATAACCAAAAAAAGATTAAGGTGTTCAAATTCCTTTAAAAATGCTGTTCCTTAAAGGGAGTCATAGCATAGCATCATTTAGGTTGGAAAGACCTTTAAGATCATCGAGTCCAACCATTAACCCAGTACTGCCAAGTTCACCACTAAACCACGTCCCTAAGCACCACTCCTTTCAAGAAACAAGTCTTCTCAAACTATGATCCTTCTGTTAGCAGAAAAGTCATATTAGCAGTCAGATTGTTTAGTTACAAAGCAGAAACTTTATTAAGTATCACTTACCAGAAATGTCTTCATATTGTCTGTACAGTTGATTATAGACAATATGATACAGACTTGACTATAAAATGTGCCTGAGACAGAAGACTTCAGAGTGATTTTCAAGATTTTAATATTATAGCAATAAATTTGAATTGCAAGGGAACGTATAGCAGATGAGCAATTAAGAAAATTTTCCCCAAACTCATCCATAATCTTTACAGATCCAGGATGAACTGTGTTCATTTAAGCATTATTTTGACCACCTCATTGTGCTTATGCTCAGTACTATCCTGTTGCAATTCAGCAGCGCTTAATACTACTCAGTGTTCTCTATTGTACTCTCCACCGCAGTAGCAGTCTTTCACAATACTTGCTCTGCAACATCTCTCTGGAACGAGGTGTTAATTTGTGAAATGGAAATGAAGAGTGGCATAGAGACAACATAAATTATAAACCCCAAACACTTACTGGTGGTGTTGTTTTGCCCTTGAACCCAAGATGAAAAGTGTGCACAACGCAAATGCAAGGCTTTCAATAGTGCAGCAGGCAAGGGCAAACCCAAACCATTCCAGGATCTCTCCAAAAAAGTTGGCTCCACTGACATACTCAAACATTCCTCCTGAAAGCAGGGCAGAGTTAGTTTAAAACTCTTATTAAGGTTTCAGAGCCATAATAAGAGCTCAAGGAGAACTTAATAAGAGCTATATCACCAGTGTCTCTATATAATTTTTAAAGGCAGTGGTTTTCATGTCAAGCTGTACAGTAAAGGATCACTTCAGACCTTACTCCTAGACTGACCTTCTCCAGTTTCATTTTTCTTATTTAAATCGTGACAGAAAGGCAGATTTATCAATATTTGAAGTGAGTTCATGTCTTTCTAAATAATTACTTAAAAATGATATCAAACTTTTTTTTTTGATCACAAACTAAACCTTTTTTATAATGTGTAAAAACAGAAAATATGCTCCCCTTTAAGAGTCCCCAAAAATACCCATAGGGTTAGTTAGCATACAATGTTTAATTTCTTTAAGTTGTTCAGAAATTAATTATGAACATTATTATGAATTAAAGTTCCAAATTTATCCTCTAGCTTAAAATGCGTTGCAGTAGATCATCCCCTGTCCGGTCTACTGCTTCAGCCCCAGCACTCAGTGAAAGCAGCGATTACCAGTCTGCACTAAATGTGTTTTATAGCCATTTACACATAAACAATCAGTACTCACCTGCTGGGAATTTTATAAAAGAAGAACTTGCACCCTAGTTCCAAAGTTAGTGTACAAACCGATTAACATTTCACATTGGTTTACCAGTGGGACTAAACAAACAAGTATTTGCCAAGTGTAATAAAGGACATGTTTTGACCTTGCTTTAATTATAATTCCTTAGCCTCTGAAAAGAGAAGCAGAATTCTAGGACTTGAACTGGATAAGCAATATCAAAAAGACCAACTCATCCTGACTGTACACCAAATAATACATTATTTCCTTCAGAACTTTTTTGTACACTGAATGTAATACAGTACACTTATTTTCACATGGGCACTTGGATTTACTCCTATTAATAAGTTGCCTTGGTGAAAAATAACTATCTATTGCCTTATATATATAGTTATTCCAGTTTTAGTTTTAAAAGTCTCACTAAAAACCAAAAGAGCAACAACTTAAGGGAAACACTTAGAAATATTAGAATTCAGAGGTAACCACTATTTTTCTTCTCGCACTGAGTGTAATATACATTGTAATATACCTGGAAGAGTCTAATGTTTCCAAAAGTGTCAATAAGCATTAACACTTCACTAGACTCCATAAAAAGTCCTTTCATAGCCTTCATTTTTCGCACAAAGAACAGAATTTATAATGCCTAATTTTCCTCTGGGTGTCTGTCCCCTTTTCCCTGTGTCTACCTTATCACAGTAGTCATTGCTTTCCGATTACCTAAGACCTTAGATAAGGTCTTCTTGCTCCATCCACCTACTTATTCTCATGAAAGGTAGGGTAAGAACCCAACTCCCTCTTCTTCATTCCCTCCCATTATATATTACACATCAGTAAGAGTCTCTTGAGCCCTCAATTACCCAGGCTGAACAAACAGTCCCAGCTCTCTCCACCTCTCCTCGTATGGGAGATGCTTCTTTTGCTATATAGATTTCTAACACATTTACTCACCTCTTGGTATCTTGTAGCCAGTTTCTCCTGGTTTTCTCAAATTTCTGAGAATATGATCAGAATGAATATTGATTGCCATGCCAATCAACCACCCCATAAAACCTGAAGAGAAATATTTAAAGTACTATTGTTAATACACTTGAGCCAAAGTATGTTCAGAAAACAAACTACAGTCATATATCACTTATTAGGCATGTTATCTCAAAGCAGTAATAATGTAAGCAGTATAAGCACTTCTGTTGACATCCTGCACAATCCCACTCCCACACTGAGCTCTTCAGCAGAGCTCACAGTGATCAACAGGTCTCTAGAAAGGAATAGCACTGTAAGTATAAAGTTTATTCTTATATAAATGTATGCATGTGTACATATATACAGATGTAATATTTCACTGACTTCCATACAGGAAAATACATTTGAAATTTCAATCGCTGAAAGTAACAACTGTTCTTATTCCTGCCAGAGGGTTACATTTTAGTCCCATTGTCCCACCTTTTTTTTTTTTTTTTACTGACATCACACCAGAGTTTCCACAGCAGGCTTCTGTGCAATAAGAGAGATAATGAAACTGTGAAAGAATTCAGGCACCATTTACTTGTGTTGTTCAATAAAATGTGTTAACCATTTATACCAGGCTTTCACAGAAACTAAGATTATTGTTGCATTCTGCACCCTTATGTTTTGTTGCCATAATTGCATGAGATAAATCAAAAGAAATTTAGGATTGAAATTTGGTATTTTCACCCTTCCATTTTGAGTCTTTGGCTACATTACCTATGTTATCATTCTTTGAAGGCAGCATTCCTTGTTACTAGGAGCAGACAGGATTCAGGTTTTGAGGGCAGATCCGTTGTATTGCTTTGAATCTACATCCAAAGTTATCGATTTTTATTATCGATAAATATGCCAGTGATGTGCTTCTAGGACAAAGTCCTTTAGATATCAGACTAAGACAGCTTTGCCTTTTTGCACCCATAATGCGAGTCTCTCAGATGGTTCTCTTTCAATACAGAGCAATACAGTAGTATGACCATCTCAGCAACGACACCAAGTGGATATCAGGATGTAAAGGGCCATGTTGCAAGACCAGCAGGTTGTCAGAACATGCTTTACCGAGACTTAAGCTACATTTCAAAGTGAAACTACAGATGTAAGTGAACATTGCCTCTCAAACATGTTGTTCAATGGGCAGTTTATTCTCACGCTCCCCTATGGGATACGTTTACCTAAAGCATCTAGCTGTCTGCTTTCACAGGGATTAGGAGGAAATGACTACTCTGCAGAGAAATGAAGGTTTCTGCATGAAAGCTCTTTCAATATTTACCTATATAAAGAAAGTTGCTTGATTAGCTTGTTACAATCTGCTTACATTACAAAACTAATTGCAAAATTTAGTCATGTGGACAAGAGTGTTTCTTAACCTTTTGCTCATACAGCACAGTGCAGTAAGTTTCCATTAGCAGTCAAGGTGTGTAACTGCTGTATGTGAAGTCTTTTGCAGTGAAATTTTACCATAATCCTTTCAACTATATATTCAATGTAATGACATCATCATGAGATAGAGATGAATTAGATCAACATGATGAGGAATTCACAGACCAATTCATATAACAACATTCAAAAAAAACACAGGATGAATAATTCAAATGCTGTTAAAATTATCTTTTTTCCTAAAAGTGTAATTCAACTTTTTTCCTTCAGAGCAGATCGCTATCCCAGCAACGAATATTGACTCTCCAGTGCATTCAGCAACAAAAATATTTTGCTTCTCTTAGCATTAGTAATTATGTATCAATTTGCTAATTGCCAGAGGAGATGGAGACTACCTTGGAAAATAAGGGGCGTTATTCACATAACTAAACAAGCAAGTCATTGTCTCTACGCATACATTTCTACTCTGAAATGCCACCATAATTTTCAAGAACATTATCTGCATATTCAGTATTCATATCTGTTTGCAAATTACTATAAAAAGTTTTCAGATAATGCAAAAAGACTGGAACTTGGTTTAAGAGTGTCCATTTACTACAGAAGATGAGTTTGATTTTGTGCATTTTTACCCCTCCTTGTTGAAAACTACCACATTGAAAGGAAACCAAATCTTTCTTCATGGACAGCAAGCCAATGAAGGTAGGCTATTTTAACAGCACCCCTCTTTGATTTGGAGATCCACTTTTCCCCTGCTGAAGTACTGTGCATAACTGTGTTTCCTGCACCTATACTCAATGGACAGAGAATAAAGGTGTGGAACGCCAGCAGTGGGAGTCTCCCAGTACTGTCCACAGATCACCCCTGACTTAATATGACTTCATTTCAATCATCACCCAAACAGCGGATGACCTTTGATGAAATCAGATAAGCTCAGCAGTGATGAAATCATAACTGACGTCAGTAGGCAACAATCCAACACCATTCTCCTGCCCTGAAGGACTGTTACGACAGATGAAACCCAACATCACAGGCTGAATGAACTCAAACTTTATAGAGATATTTTAAAGAGATGGTATATTGGAAAGTGTGGGACCTGAGCATGACGTAAATGGTATACAATAAAGGGTGGATACTGTCCTGGTTTCAGCTGCAATAGTTTTTTTTCCCTAGTAGCTAGTACAATGCTGTGTTCCAGCTTTTCTGACCTACTAGAGTTCATCTGAGAAGGACCTGGGAGTACATCTGGAGTACTGTGTTTAGTTCTGGGCTCCTCTGCACGAGACAGACAAGGAGCTACTGGAGAAGGTCCATAAGAGGGCCACACAGATGATCAAGGTCTGGATCCACTCTCATGAGGGGGGACTGCAGGAGCTGGGCCTGCTTAGTCTACAGAAGACCAAGAGGGGATCTCATTAATGCATGTAAATATCTCAAAGGTGCGTGCCAGGAGGTTGGTGCCAGACTCTTTTCAGTGATGCCCAGCGACAGGACAAGGAGCAATGGCCAGAAACTAAAATACAAGAAGTTTCACCACAACATGAGGAAGAACTTCATTACATCGAGGGTGGCAGAGCACTGGAACAGGCTGAGAGAAAGGCTGTGCAATCTCCCTCTCTGTAGACATTCAAAACCTGCCTGGACATGCTCCTGTATAACTGCTCTGGGTGGCCCTGCCTTGGCAGGGGGACTTGACTGGATGATCTCTAGAGGTCCTTTCCAACCCTAATGATTATTCGATTCTGTGATTGGTTCACTGTCCTAATCCTCAGATTCTCACCATGACTAAGTCCTAGGACTGCACTCTACAAAGCGAAGAGCTGGTTATGCACCACAATCTACTTGACTTGGCTTCCACCACAGGGAAACGTGGACATGTAAACAGGAAGGAAGCCACAGCATATCCCAGTAGATTCTCAGAACCACAGGATACCCCATACATAATAGTCTTGTGAGGTCATCTATTCAACTCAAGAGGCTTTTCTCCATCTAGATAAACCTGCAGGTTAAGGCCTGGCTTCATATTAGGAGAACCCTTGCATAAGAACAACTAGGTGTACATTACCAAACAATGTAGTGCAACAGTAGAGCACGTATGCGTTGTTGCACCACTGCCCTCTTCACCCATACCTATATAGAATCTCATGCAAAATGACCTATCCTTCTTCAGACTATTTCAGAATGACAGCATGATAACTGCCATCTGGTTCACCTCTGCACTCTGGGTTTCAGGAATATGCAGTGCAAGATGATATATAAAAAACAGCAGAAGGCCAATTTCTACAGGTGCCAGAAGTGCCTTGTAGACACTTAGAGTGAACAAGTGCCTCATCTCATGTCTGTGATGAGTCTCTCCAAGAAGGCACAAAATCATTTGGAGCATCCAGATGCCAATAGATATTAGGAGATATACTGACTAACCCTCATCCCTCAGTCACAAGACCATATGCAGATATGGACATACACCCATGCTCTTCTCACGTCTATTCTGTATAGACGGCTAAGGTGGCACACGTGCTTGGTTGCCTGACTGCCAGATAACAAGCCTCACGCAACAGATTAAGTGCTGATGTTCTGTCATCTGCGCCTTCCGAGTTACAGGTACTACTCTCCTTCACATAGCTGCTGCAGAGAAAAGTGTTTTGATGAACAGAAGGGTTAGCCATCAACATGAAAGGAAGTGGTTGAAGGAGGATTTAAAGTAGTAAGACAAGCCATATGGCACACTCCCATACTACAACAGGTCTGATGAAGCTAAAGCAAGCAAAGGAAAAGAGCTTCCAACTAGAAGTGCAGACAGATTAGGAAAGAACACAAGTGGAAAACATGCAGATGCATATATATGCCTGTTTACAGCACTCGCCACTTCAGAGTATCTTGGGTTCTTTTGGCAAGTTCACAGGCTTTCTACTGGCACAAGTGTGTAAGGTACATGCTAAAAAAATCACAAAGTTGCTCCCACACTGATTTGCAAGCTCATGGTTTTATCAAGTGTTGCACTGCATTTGAAGTTCACTGCTCTGACCTAAACCTACATGCAGTCCAGAGAAACTGAACAAACCACATCAAAACTGTATGCTGCTCTAAAATAATTGCTGGAGTAAGGATAAGCTATTTATTTCCCAGAATTAACTCCTAAACATCTGAAAACAGTCCATCTGTATATTAAGGCTTCAGAGAGAACACATCAGCTGTTTGAAACCTCCCACCATGATGGTCAATCAGCCTCACTTCTCCAAATTTTTGTCTTCACTGCAAATTTATCTAACTTCAGCTTCCAACTACTGAACCTTGTTTTGGCTGCTACTTGTAAGCACTCTCCCATTCCTCTTCTACTCAGTAACTTTATGTGGACTTAAGAAATACCTCATTAACCCTGAGCAAATATGCCTTCTTGCAATTGTTATTTTATAATCTTTTACTCATTTTTTTCTGCCAGATGTTTTTTAAGAACCAGAACATAATAATCCTGTTGTTCAGGGAGTATCCGGTGTACAATACAGCACTGCTGCATTCAAGTTAAACAAAGCTACAAGCATAAACTGCAAATTTGGTGATACCTAGCTGAGATGAATACCAAATAATTATAAATATCATCTGTGTTCCAATTATCTTGCTGTGCACTACAAAATGAAAAGAAAACCCCAAAAAGCCCAGAAGATGTTCTAGTACAATAAAAAACAAGACATCTTCGGTTTGGCTGTTTCATAGCCATGCCAAACTAAAAATTTACTGTAATAACACTCAGAAAAGTCAGCAAGTGACATCCAAAATGGTTGCTACCATTAATAGCAGCATTACTAATAGTACTATTAATAGAACTGATAACAGCATTAATTAGTAATACTAATAATTAATAGTACTCATAATAGTACCATTAATACCATTAACAGGAATGTTCACTTTCATAGTTTTCAGGATAACTTTTTAAAGCAATATTTTTGACTCAAAACAGTCATGAAAGCAACACTTTGCTTACAATTAGCATTACTAGAAATATACATAAGCATATATTCCAAACTGATATTATTTGGGGAAAAAAAAAACCAACCCAAAACCCAGCAAACAAAACCAAACTAAACTAATTCATACACAGAAGTATTCACAACAGAAGGCACATGAATCCAGCTATTGTTTATACATTTACGTCTTTCAGAAATCATTGATGCAAAAAAACAAACCAATGAAACCTGAGCAGCAGTCTTATGACCTTAAGTTTTTAAGATCTTACAGTAAGGATGAATTGTTTTATGGCTCCTGACTCATGATTTAACAGCACTATATTGAGATATCTTTTGATTAAGGTACTAAACTAGGGCATTAGAAACAAATCTATGGTGCATCAGCCTTCAACAGTTTTGATCCACTGATCTTTTAATATCTTTTTTTTTGTCAGATCCAAGTTTAACAAGATTGGAATTTCAAAAATACCAAGAGAATTTCAAGCACTTCAAGTGCCTACCACCCACTGAAGTAATTCCCTTGTGCCTCAATTTCTCCATTTTTAGAACACAAGCAGTACCACCTCGTAATCCTGGCAAGACAATCTATTTTGATTTACATTTTGTCAATCTTATAGTCACGACAGCATTTTACTGCAGTGTTACTGTGGATGACAATAGACTGCTGTGTTAAGATAAAAGCTGCTTATTCTAAAAGTCTTGAGAAATCTGGGAGAAACACCCATTTGTTATTCCAGAGTCAGAGTCGGAGCAAGAGTGGTACTGGGTCAGATCAAGGATCCACACAGCCCAGTATTATGCCTTTGAATGATAAGGAAAAATATTCTGGTTTATCCTTAGATCAAGAAGATCTTCCTGGTGCCACTAGACTTCATAGCCTTTTAATCATACGCATGACTTCAACTATAAATGCAACCTCATTTCCTGATAGGAGTGAGTGATCCACCTCTCCAAACCCTTCTTGGGGGACCAGTTATGTTGCTCGGCAAAGCCCACTCATATTACAGGGGTGGGGGGGGTGGTGCATGTGTGTGAGTGCACGCCTAAATACCCTAGCAGTGAGGACTTTGGGCATTAGAAATGGTATCTTGGTATTTAGCAACTACCCTTACTGGATTTGTACTCCATGAATTCATTCACTTCTGTTTGGCCACATACAAACCTTTACTACCCACAACATTGAGGAACAAGGGATTTCAGTTTAATCTACATATTATATGGAAAGTCTGCTTTGTTTGTTCTAAACCTGCACGTTGATGGTTTCATTTCAGGCCTCAAGTTCTTATATTCAAAAACAAAACAACAAAAAAAAACACCAACCACATGACCCATATTTACTTTGGTGTTAAAGAATAAATATGACAGTCAGCTCAGCTAAGACTGACATTGTGGGAAGAAGTGCCAGTTCACAATTCTAAAAGAAAAAAGGTTAAAGGCTTCCAGCTACAGCAAATGGAAGAATTAACTATGAGAAAAGTTATAAAATGGGATTGAAGACACTATAAAATTGTAATGAAAAATAAAAAGCTGTGAAGACAAAGGAAAACTACACCTAATATTCTCATAACATGTTTTAACTCACCTGTAATAAAACACGGATCTTTTAACCAGCCTGAAGGGTATTTTGCATAGTTGCTTAAGCTTCGGCCTTGCAAATATCCATTGTAAACACAGAACAGAAGCGCCAGCACAAAAGTGAAAAACGGTGTTGGCTTTCCTTCCCGGATCAGAAGAGGAAATATGAGTGCCCTATAACAGACGAGGAAAGAAAAACTGTTGCATTAACAAACAGAAAAGATATTTTTGATGTCCAGAACGGTAATCCATAGCCCATATTATCCTGCTTTTGAAATTCTCAGCAGTCTTTAATCCCATTTCAGAAGGAGAGTTACACTTGTTTTGACACCTAAATGATTTTGTTGCCTCATCAGAATTACAAGATCATAGAATCACAGAATAGTTAGGGTTGGAAAGGACCTTAAAGTCATCTAGTTCCAACCCCCCTGCCATGGGCAGGGACACCTTACGCTAAATCATATCACCCAAGGCCTCGTCCAACCTGGTCTTGAACACTGCCAGGAATGGAGCATTCACAGCCTCCCTGGGCAACCCATTCCAGTGCCTCACCACCCTAACAGGACCCTATCAGTCCTCTCACTCCTTATGACAGAAGTGTTGAACCTTGTATCCAAGCCAATTACTTTGGCAATAGGAGTAAAGCCAACTGGTGTTCTAAGCATATTTTTGTCCTCCTTTGCTCCTGAGTCCTCATTAGTATAATTAAGCTTTCTGAAACAAGCCAAGTCTCACAATCCCTACATCAAATCCACCAGCACTTCCAGGGGGAAAGTCAATCCTCTTGAAATTAACCTGGTTTCCTCCTTACTCTTAAGGTTACCTAAAAATATTAATTTCACCTTTGCCTTGATAATCTTGGTCTACCCTATGACACCTGATAAAGGCAGGTGACAAATCCACAGCTGCTATCTCATTTTGGAAAGGAATCTTGATTGCTTTTCCTGGCAATTACATCATGAGTAAACAAACAGGCTCCAAACAAGAAAAGCAGGTGAGGGTTTCTGTGCTTTGTCTCTCATGGCTAGTCAACTTCCCATCACCTATCAATTTAATTGCAATCTATAATGATACAGGAACAGGATTACTGAAGCCTGAACGTTCTTTGCGTGTTTTTCCAGCTACCCCAGGATTACGGCTTCAGAGGAAGCAAAGCCGTGACAGCTTTCAAGAAAGCGTAACAAAATCATTAATACGATTAAATTACTTAAAGACCGCTAGGTTACAACAAATGGGTAACAGTCTACATTCAACTACAGAACAGTCCCTCTGTTCAGAGACAGCAGTAAAGCAACTGGAAAAAAAGAAGCTGCAGTACAGCTCAGCTTTCTGTGCAAGCCTTGCCTTTTCATTTCCAGATTTTCCCAGACACAGAGGATGAGTTAACATCCCATGTCAACCCTAATGTCTTTATTTGTAAGGCTGGAAAAGAGGGAGTAAAGACACAGTCCTGGGTTTGCAAAGCCAGTTAGCCACCAGGCCAACTCTACATTGCATTCTTCTCTACCACCAAGATATGGAATACTTTTGGTTAAAACCAACAGTTCGTCATAATAAGTACTGTACATAGCTGATACCAACACATATATCACACACTCAAAATTAGCCTGACAAATCTTTCTCTGCCATATTATCACTTGTGGAGTACTACCAGTAGCTACCATGACTTGATGGGAACAGCAGAATCTTGCCTAAGCTCTAGTCAGTCTCCTTTCTCCTAAGTAGCTTACAGAATATCCAGATACCATTGACTGCATAGTAACACGGGGCACTCAGCCCCAGCTATGCAGGTGTTTTAACTAATCCTTGAACGTCCTGAGCTGGGAGGGTCCAAACAAGAATCGAGTCAAACGCCCGAAGCAAACCCCACGCAACTGAAAAATCACTACCGCTTCCCCCTAGTAAAATTGTATCAGCACCTACAGCGGACCTTTCCGTGTTGGAACATTGTACTCTTACAACATCAAATACTCTATTCTGAAAGATGCCCGAGCACTCCACCTCACCCCACACAGCAGGGCAAAGCAGCGAGCACGGCACCACCACAATTACTTGCTCAGCTCATGTAAAAACCTACAGCATCTTAACACATACAGAAAAAACGTTAGCGATTGTTACAGAGAATAGTAAGAGTTAATAATAATTAATCAAAGGCAGAATTTCAGTCCCTGTAGTCAGAGAGCAGCAGCCAGGTGTTTTTGCCGGGACTGGCACTAAGCTGCCGCAGAACGACACCCGTTCACCTGTCACCACCACCACCCCCCCCCGTCCTTCCTGCTCTCCAGGCGAGCCAGAAAGGAGCTCCCCCCGCCCCCGCCGAGCGCTCCATCGCAGACCCCACCGCACCTCTGCACATAGTGCACGATGAAACAGCCCAGCAGGATGCGATTGGGCCAGGCGGCGGAGACCGCCCCGCCGCAGGCAGCGAGCCAGATCGGGACGAGGAGTGAAGGCAGTTCCTGCAGCGCCCATGCGGGACGGGCGGGCAGCAGCCAGCCGAAGCGCCGCGAGGAGTAACGCCCATAGGGCATGCGTATGAAGCGGAGCAGCACCGCGGAGCCGGCGCCCAGCGCCACCAGCCCGTAGGAGAGGAGCTCTAGCAGCCGCTGCTCCTCGGGGCCCGACACCCGCAGCCACAACCCGCAAACGTCGCGGACACCCATCGCACACCGCACAGCCGAACGCGCCCCGGCGCCTCCATTCATCAGCCGGCAGAGGGCACACCCACCTGCGCCGCGGACCAATCGGCGCCGTGTGGGGGCGTGACCGGCACCGCTGCCCCCACCCTCCGGTTGGTGGGGCTGCCGCCGGCGGGAGAGGCGCTCGCGGATCGGAAGTTCCGCCCCGGTGGCGGCGGCACGGAAGTGACCCGAATGGCGCTCCCGGGGGTAGGACCAGCGCATGCGCATACCGGCGCGAGCACGCGGTGCGGCTGCCGTGTGTGTGTGCGTGCGGCCCCTCTGCTCGTGAGGGGCGGGAGAGGCCGCACCGACGGCTGGGCGCGTAGCGGGGCTCGTGCGGCGCCTGGCCGCCATGGGCCGCCGCGCGCGCGACCGCAGGCGGCAACAGCAGCAGCGGCAGGAGCGAGGCGGTGACAGCGGCGGTGGCGGCGGCGGGGACCAGGCGGTGAGAGCCAGGCCGGGCCGGGCGGGGAGGGGAGGGCAGCGGCATCGCCGCCGGGCTGACGGTGCCGGCGTGTTTCAGGGCTGGGCCGGCGGCTACCCCGAGATCGTGAAGGAGAATGAGCTGTTCGAGCGGTACTACCGGGAGCTGGGCATCGTGCCCGACGGAGAGTGGGGAGACTTCATGGCGGCGCTGAGGGAGCCGCTGCCCGCCACGCTGCGCATCACCGGCTACCGCAGGTAGGGGCTGGCAGGGGGCCCCGGGCTCGGAGGTACCCTCCGGTTTTACCTGCCGCCTGGGGAAGGCGGGTCCCCATCCTGCCTCATCCTGTGCGCCTCCCTCCTGTGCAGCCACGCCAGAGAGATTCTCCACTGCTTAAAGGAAAAGTACTTCAAGGAGCTGGAGGACCTGGAAGTGGATGGCCAGAAAGTCGAAATGCCGCAGGCGCTGAGCTGGTGAGCGAGGTGCAAGTCAGACAGGCATCCTGTGCAGTCCCGGCATCCAGCCTCATGAATTGGTTTCATTTGCCTTTGCTCTTCTTCTGCCTCTTTGCCCCAGGTATCCAGAAGAGCTAGCCTGGCACACCAACCTGAGCAGAAAAATCTTGCGCAAGTCACCGCAGCTGGAGAAGTTTCATCAGTTTCTGGTTAGCGAGACAGAATGTGTAAGTCCTAGATACACCTTGATTTGTTTCTTTTCTCTTGCAAATCCCGAGCCGTGTTTTGTTTAGCTGTGTTATGAGACATTGAGACCGCACCTTTTCTCTCAGCAGCTGAGTAGCTCAGAAGAATCTCGATTTAGTGTTGGTGTTGACAGTAATTAATCCTACAACTGCTGCAAAACTGCAGTTACAGATGTTTCTCCTGTGCTAATTGCATTTGTTTTTTGCTTGAGAATGTGAAAATGAGTCCCTGTGAAATAATGAGTTGCTCTTAGAAAATAGGTGTTTAAATTCTGTAAAAAGCGTGTGTGCATACGTAACAACACTTACCTTTAGTAATGCATGTTTCTCACTTGCTTGAATCCAGTTTCTCATCTCTGCTGAGCAGAAATTATATCTATAGATTTAACAAAATTAGAACAAATATGCAATTACCAGAGATCTCAGTTGGATGAAAAATGTTGATTTTTGTTGTTGTTGTTACCTGCTACCAAATTTCAATCCTGAATTTATAATAGTGTGGTTTAGATTGCTTTATTTTATTTTATAGAGATTTAAAAAAGTATTGCAAGAGAAATGTGCTCTCTTGTGCAATAAAAAGGAGGGGGTGCTGATCTTTATTTTTGTTCTGTTCCTTTCAAGGGAAATATCAGTCGACAGGAGGCTGTTAGTATGATCCCACCTCTGCTGCTTAATGTTAACCCTCATCATAAGGTAACTCCAGAATATACTGTGTACTGGATTTTTTCCTAGCAGATAGTTTGATTACACTACAAATTACAAGAGCAGTATCAAGGCTGGTGCAGAATTCTGTTATGGAAGAATCAGCTTGATGTCCATGAAACCACTCTGTGGTTGTGTTAATTTTTAATCTGTTTTTCACAATTTCGTTTTCCCTCACAATCAGCTTGCTGGACAATTTTGAAGCATGTTTATGCTTGCTTATTCTTCATAGAATTATAGAATAGTTAGGGTTGGAAAGGGCCTTAAGATCATCTAGTTCCAACCCCCCCTGCCATAGGCAGGGACACCTCACACACTGAACCATGCCACCCAAGGCTCTATCCAACATGGCCTTGAACACCACCAGGGATGGAGCATTCACAACCTCCCTGGGCAACCCATTCCAGTGCCTCACCACCCTTACAGGAAAGAACTTCTGTCTTATATCCAATCTAAACTTCTCCTGTTTAAGTTTAAACCCGTGACCCCTTGTCCTGTCACTACAGTCCCTAATGAAGAGTCCATCCCCAGCATCCTTATAGGCCCCCTTCAGGTACTGGAAGGCTGCTATGAGGTCTCCATGCAGCCTTCTCTTCTCCAGGCTGAACAGCCCCAACTTTCTCAGGCTGTCTTCATACGGGAGGTGCTCCAGTCCCCTGATCATCCTCGTGGTCCTCCTGTGGACTTGTTCCAACAGTTCCATGTCCTTTTTATGTTGAGGACACCAGAACTGCACACAATACTCCCAAGTGAGTTTTCACAAGAGCAGAGTAGAGGGGCAGGATCACCTCCTTCGACCTGCTGGTCATGCTCCTTTTGATGCAGCCCAGGATATGGTTGGCTTTCTGGGCTGCGAGCGCACACTGAAGATGGATCATGTTTATTTTCTCATCAACCAACACTCCCAAGTCCTTCTCCACAGGGCTGCTCTGAATCTCTTCTCTGCTCAACCTGTAGCTGTGCCTGGGATTGCTCCGACCCAGGTGTAGGACCTTGCACTTGGCATGGTTAAACTTCATGAGGTTGGCATCAGCCCACCTCACAAGCGTGTCAAGGTCCCTCTGGATGGCATTCCTTCCCTCCAGCGTATTGACCGAACCACACAGCTCGGTGTCATTGGCAAACTTGCTGAGGGCGCACTCAATCCCACTGTCCATGTCAGCGACGAAGATGTTAAACAGGACTGGTCCCAACACCAATCCCTGAGGGACACCACTCGTTACTGGTCTCCAGCCGGACACTGAGCCATTGACCACAACTCTTTGTGTGCAGCCACCAGCCAGTTCTTACCCACTGAGTGGTTCACCTCTCAAGTTGATGTCTTTCCAATTTAGGGACAAGGATGTCATGTGGGACAGTGTTGAACGCTTTACGCAAGTCCGGATAGATGACATCAGCTGCTCTACCCCTGTCCATCAGTTCTGTAGCCCCATCATAGAAGGCCACTAAATCGGTCAGGCAGGATTTCCCGTTAGTGAAGCCATGCTGGCTGTCACAACGCACTTGTTTTTCATGTGCCTTAGCATGCCTTCCAGCAGAAGGCATTCTTGGTTTTTTTGTGCATTATCTGCAAAAGTGGAAACTGTCAGTGTTACAACTGTTACTTTAAATGGCAGGCATGACAGTGTCTTACTGAGTGTGTTTCATGATGCATTAAGCAGTGCTTATCACATGCTCCTTGAAGCTCTCCATAAGTGCTCTTTGCATCTCCCTGGGATCTGTCATCCAGGTTAGTCTTGTTCATGACAAGAGCTTGTATGGGAACTGGATCAGATCCATCCCTGTCTTTTATACTGTTGTACAATTTCAGCTAACGTTTCTTGTGCTAAAGGTCCAAAGATATTCATATGTTTATGTAACTATGCAAGAAGACTGTAAGCTTCCTTACTTAAGAAGGCAGTGTTAGCTGTCAGATGGTTTGCTGTGAAAGTGACTGTATGAATGACTCCACCACAAGCCAAGTTTGTGATGAACCAGGAGTGAGAAGTAATGCTAGAAATCAGGTGTTGGTAGCTGTGCTGTTCTGTGCTGTTGCTGAGGACAGTTCAGGTAATTTCCAAGTGCTTCTTCAAGGATATTAGAAAGAAGCGGTTTATACTGCCCTGATTTTTTTGGCATTAAAATGCAAATGTGTGGGGAGAGATAGAACTTAATTTTTATGAAATCTGTATAATTAACTGGGCTGATTAATTTACTGATAGTTAAAGGAAAATACTACTTGTTCTTTAGCGTGACTTTGCTTTTAATGTGCGTGTGTATGTAAAGTTCCAGTTCAGCTGAAATTGAGATGATAAAAAGACCATATCCCCCATCTACATTCATATTTCTCTTTCAGATCTTTCTTTTTCAGCTCGTGCATTTGTTCGCTAGAAACTAAAGTCCTTTTTACATATTAGACCCTCAGAGATAAAGCGTACAAAACCTAGAACTTTATGTTTTTGTAAATTGGTCTTCAGAACAATTATAATTCTGCAGCTGTATGCAAAAATATTTAATTTCAACAAGAACACATAGTAAATTTCCCAGACTTAAAAACCATGTAAAGGTAGGACTTGTTATTTAATTTTCTACTGTTTGTAGATTCTAGATATGTGTGCTGCACCTGGATCTAAGACTGCCCAACTGATTGAAATGCTACATGCAGACATGAATGATCCTTTTCCCAGTAAGTCTGAAAAAACTACCAAAAACTTTTGTGACTTTGAATTTTTGCTTTTTCTTGTAAAAGATTGTTATAATTATCACAGTTAAGTAACTGCATTTAACTGCCTTTTGAACCCCCAGTGTGTTGGAATGATACAAGATACCCCCATCTTTGCTTTGAAACTTTGTGGGCTTCCTTGGCTAGAAGAGAGAGATAGATTACATATAGATATAGGTAGATATCTTCACAGTTCAGACTACAGTAGATCTGATTAGCACTTAATTTTTTTATATATATCAGGTTTACCTAGTAGGTGGTGGCCCATAAACCCTTGTGTTACAGTTGTATCCTGCAAACACTGAATTGAGGAGCTTTAGCCTTAGAATGGTCATTATATTTATCTTGTTTATTTCTTTTTAAGCTGCAGAATCTTTACTTTCAGTTAGATGCTCACAGAAAATAGTGCCCATGGAAATTGCGAAGTTAGGGGGAGGGGATTCTTTCTGGATTCTTCTGGAAATCTGATGTACAGAGATTGTGTTCAATGGCAGTGGAGGTTCTTTCTGTTACAGAGGTTTTACTTTGAGAAGTTACTTATTGTTGCTGCATGGAAGCTAGAACTATTGAGACTGTATTTGACACATCAGTTAAACCTCAGCATACTTCATGTTATTTTATGTTCAGTAAGGGGTCCTCTCTTCGTAAGTAGTCTTTTAAGTAAAACTGTTTAGTGAAAGGCTTACACAACTTTGAAGATAAAGCAGTAAACTATGTAAAATTACTTAGCTGTTGAGTAGTAAAGCATCTTCCTAATATTTTTTTTTTCCAGAGGGTTTTGTAATTGCTAATGATGTCGACAACAAGCGCTGCTATTTGCTGGTTCATCAGGCTAAGAGGTTAAACAGTCCGTGCATCATGGTGGTAAATCATGATGCCTCCAGCATTCCTAATCTACAAATAGATGTTGATGGAAGAAAAGAGATCCTCTTCTATGACAGGATTTTATGTGACGTCCCCTGCAGGTATCTTGCACGCAATCTTCGGTGTGCAGATTTTAGTGCACTAAGTGCAGTGTTACAATTTTTGTCTTACTGAGTTATGCTTTTTGAGTTGTTAAGTGAGTTATGATTTATAGTAACTTCCAAAGCAGGTGAATGCCTTAAACTTCTTGGGTAAGAAGATACCAAATCAAGGTGAACGTTTTTCATTCTAAGGGGTACTTAAGTTTGGACCACTTTTGAACTTGGGCTCAGGATTCTGAAATACAAAGATAGCATTGAAGCAAACAATATGACATAGGAGGACTCATTAATGTGGGAGAGGGATTGTTAATACTTTGCTGCCATAAATGTCTTTGATATGAAATAAGTTTCACCCACAAATAATACAGATCTGTTTGACCTCTGTTACAGTGGAGATGGAACTATGAGGAAAAACATTGATGTATGGAAGAAATGGACGACACAAAACAGTTTGCAGCTCCATGGGTAAAAATGCTTATTACACATCTGCACTTTCATTTCTCTCTGCTCCTTTTCCTGTTAACATCTGCATGCATTCATATGTTAATATATAACAAAGCAGAGACTGAGAAGAGTCACTTTTCTCTCAGATCAAGAGCTGATGTACCATTCAGAGAAAGTGTAGTGTTTCAGATATGAGGAGTGTAGTCTGTGAATCTAAATTGCTTGTTTTCTTAAGCATATCTGACATACTAACATTCTTTGAGTTCATTTAGACAAGGTAGCTAATGAAAGAGAGAACAAATAATTTGGTTGGGATTCTTAGTGTTTAGGCAGGTAAAATACTGTTGGAAAATACAACAACTTGTAAGATTTAATAGAAACGTTTTAAAGTCTTAAGAATATTAGAGATGATACATACACGGTTTCAGTTACCTGAGACTTGTTTATGTTAAATGGTGGTGAATGAGTACTTAGCCTAGTGCAGGCACATGGTAAAAAGCAGTAATTTAAACACAGATGGAGAAGCTTAGAACATTTTACTGTGCCTTTGTAACAAGCTGGGAATGCTGTCAGTTACTGTGACTCAGCTGACCTGTGGTGGTAATGCTAGATAACTCATAATTGCAGGTTCTGTTTTAGTTGTCAATATGCAAGCAGGTTATAAGTTCATCATCTGGCTCAGTGTTACTTTTCTCAGAAAGCCAATACTAGCTAAGCTGTGTTGTCCATAATATTTGTAATAGATTGCTTCTCATTTTGACTGTAGATTTCTGAGAAGGAGAGCCAGGTTTTGGGGTGTTATTTTTCTAGTATGGAGTACTTTATAATAAACTTAATGGGACACTAGAAAGAACAACATACAGAATGTTATGTTAGAAGTTATCATGCAGTACTGTTAATGTTTGACCTAATTGCTGTTTTAATAGATGTAATTGTGAGTGTGTCTGCAGTATAGGCTGTTTAGCCCATGGAGCATTATGTGCCTGCGGTATAGCTTCACATGTAAGAAACTTGATGACAAATATTTCTGGTTCCTGAATGATACCTGGCTACATCAAGAGTGTTCTGTTAGATTGCAGTTAAGAATTGCAACCCGTGGTGTTGAACAGCTGGCAGAAGGCGGGAGAATGGTGTATTCCACGTGTTCGTTGAACCCCATTGAAAATGAAGCAGTGATCGCATCTCTGCTGGAAAAGAGCCAAGGTGAGAATTCCCAAGATGGGGAAATCTTTTCCTGAGGCCAAAACACAGTATGTGTATGAAACTACTAGTAATAAGCTTAGTGTAGGTAACATGCTCCTACTATGCAAAACTGCAGCAATTTTTTGGTAGCTGTAGGATTTTACCAGTGTTGTTGATATGAGCAGTCATCTTAAATTGGCCTAAATCGGATGCAAATATAAAACCTGAACAAGTTGTGTTAATAATACACAAAAGACTTCTACAGATCAGTGGAATTTGGTCTGTGTTATCTGGCTTCTGCTAACTGATTCCACTGTTTGGATTCCATGTCTGATATTCATATTTCCTTCGGAAAACATGGTGTGGGACACTAGCGCTGTATGTTGCAGGAGTAAAAAGCCCAGAGTACACTTTAAGCAGGTAGAGGAATGTTACTGTGCATCAGCAGGTGGAGGTCACTGATACCTTTAGCATCCTTTGACCCACAGTTTGGCAGACTTGGACTTTTAAAGTCTTTAAGCTTTTGACCCACAGTTTGGCAGACTTGGACTTTTAAAGTCTTTAAGCTTACGGGTTTTTTTTACACTTTTGACTTGCATATGAAGGCTTGCTTAAGTTGCTGTTAGGTCTTTATCATCTGAAGTAACAAGAGGTAGAAAAATTAAGATGAGCTGGGAAGCAGCGCTGCACCGGTTTGTGATGGTAGGGTTTAGTAGCCCAGATTTATGGTCTTGAGCGGATGGACACTTTTTTCCGAGTGAGTAACCTGAAGTTTGGAGATATCTAATTGGATTTCACATTAAAAGTTCCACAGACTAAGTTGAGCCTTGTACAGAGCAGAAGCAGTTGTAGTGCCTCTGGAGCTGAGCTGGTTCTGGAAGTAGACTAGTCTGTTTTGTGTAATGTTTTCTTTGTTCCAGTCACTATTCTGGCCACCAATTACGTGTGAAATTTCATTGTCTCAGAAAAGCAGTTTAGCTAAAATGCCTGGAGATAATTAAGAACTGACTATTCAATTTCCAGTCAAAGGACATTTTTATTTAGAGGTAATTTCTTTGGTAGATGAACGGGAGAACAGCGTGTTATACGACATAGACATGTTTCATGTAAATTATAGTATGCTTGGCTTATTGAAGGCTGTAGTACACCAGAGTTAAGTTAAAAGGTTATTGGAAAGCAGTAAGGACTAATTTGTGTAGGAGCATAGAGCAGTATGGATGTTAATGAGGCCAACAATTGTAGCATCTTGGGCAAATTCAGTACTTGAAAATAAGGATCTTGACTGGCTATTGTGGCATTTGGATCTTGTCTCTGCCCAGTGGAGGTATTCTGAAGCTTACTTGGAGGCTATGGTGTGTCCCAGTGAGTGCATGTTATCCTTGGGGCTTCAATGTAGATGTAGCAAAAGAAGGATAAAGTAACACAGTAGTCTGCAGGGGGCATTGAACCTCAAGTATTTGCTCAGGTCAGTCTAGAAGATTTGTTGGTTCTTGGGTGTTAACTTAATCCTAGCACTGTGTTACATGGCTACTTGTAGAGCAGATCAGAGATTGCTTTCCCCTTAGGCCTGGAGTAAGAAAAAGGCACTTTTGTACCATGTTTCTCTACTGAGAATTGTAGTATTTCTGACAAACTATTTAGTGCCTGCTCAGTCTGATGTAGTCTTGAGGTATCAGTTGAAGTCATGCTGTAGGTAGGCAGGAATATTTAAAGGACAGGTTTAATCAGATCTGAAATGTCTTTTTGGAGTTCATCCATAAATTCATGTATCAGTCATTTATTTAAGACCTGCTTAAAGTGTTACTGTAAGAGTAAATGGTTAGTCATTTAGAACAGGTTGTTAAATTGTGTACAACATGAGAAAAAGCCTACCTAGCTGTTAGAATTCAGAATCACAAAAAAGAAATTTTCAGGTTATTCTTTAGAGAGATCACCTATTTAAACAGTAAGTTTTTATACCATTCTTTCTGGAGTTGGGACAGCTTTAAGTTCTTATTCAGTAGAGGAAGTTATACTCTGTTGATGTCATTTGTAGATGTATTTATTTTATATGTCTTTGTAGCATGACTATTTATATGTTATTTGTAGCATTATGTATTGTAGGCACATCGCCTTTTGTCGTAGAATCATAGGATGGTTTGGTTTTGGAAGGGATCATCCAGTTCCAGCCCCCCTGCCATGGGCAGGTGTAAGCGGCGAGGAGAAGCAGACAAGCCAACCCAATATGGGTGATAAGCAACTTCTAGTTTATTTGTGACGCAGTTCACACATATATAGGAGTGGTATTCAGCCACTCCTTCTTGGCAGAACAGTATTGGTTAGCCCCCACAGCTTCCTCCACATTCTCCTCCCAGGTCCGGTCTCCGGCCACCTGTGGGGGCCACCCCCTGCCTTGCTTGCACAGTCCTCCAGAACTCTATGGTTCTGCTCTTAGAGTCATTCTGCAACAATTCCCCCCTTTTTCTTTGTGCAAGCAAGGCATTATGGGTTATTCTGTTCACCTGTTTTATCACACAACTATAAACAAGTCTAATAGCTACGATGATTAACCTAACAATGATACATAAGTGCAATACTTTAAACAGCAGTGTTTGACTCAACCTGTAATGCCCCGTGAAGACAACCATCTAGTTATTCTTAGGATATTGCTCATTTACTATTGCTGGGTAAGCTGAGCCAGGGTTCTCAGCTGTGCGTGCATCGAATTAGCATAATCAGAGAGACTCATACAACACATTCCATCAAACTCTTCACATCCATGTCCCTGTTCCAACAACAAAAGGTTCTGCAGTGTTGCATGTCTTACAGAGTCAACATTAAAACAAATCAGGAATTGCCTTCGATGTAGAATTGTCTGCTTAGCAACTCAGCAACCCAGTCTGCTTAGTTGAGCCAAGGCCCCGGCTGAAGCACTTACAGTGATTCGGCATATTATGATTGGATACATGTTTTGAAGACCCTTAGTGACTAACATATAATTGGTTAAACACAGGTGTGAGAACTCAACCTTGAAAGCTTGCCAACAGTCCACAGTTCTCATTAACTTGGTGAATTCCAGCCTCTTATCTTGCTTGCTTAAGCTTCTTCAGGCCTCTCATGGCCTTGCTGTGTCTTTCAGGACTATTCAAAGTTTATGTACCAATTATGCATTCTCCTGTGAGAACACTGTCTCCACATCTCCCCCCTTTTGTTTTATCCAGTAACAAGTCGCTACTACAGCAAGGCACACACACATTTACATTAGCAGAGTAACTATTACAGGGTGCAGCAGCATGTTGAAGATGCTGATGGCAGTGAAGGACTAGCCAAAGAAATTTCTTACCAGTGGAATTCTCCCCCCTCTTAATTTGTTCCATCACCTGCTTTATAACACTACCATTGTATTAAAATTTTTCTAGCTTTTGCCTTAGCATTTTCTAGGAGCTACTGCAAATTTCCATACTCTAACATCTCATTTACAAGTGACAAATCTATACAATACAAGGTGCAGTTTCTTATTAACAACTAGCTAGTAAATACAGGTGGTTTTATACACAAAATCACAACCTCTAATATAGCTACTTTACAAGCACACATATTCAGGATGTTACTTTTCAGTTGCCCCCAAGTGATGTTTTGCAGTTATTTGTTCTTTCTCTTCCTCCATCTCATTCTGCTTGGGGTAATCACGGTCAGCTCCTGTAGCTGAGGCATCAGGTTTATCCATTCGTCTGTCCAGCTCATGGCAGGGCTTCACAAACTTTGCACAGTCGCCATGGACCTGTAGGCAGGAGGGCACAAATATACCCCCTCCCCCAGGTTATCAGTTCTTGAGAAGTAGACAGGTTAAAGTTAAATGTAACATCATTACTCTCTCTCTCCCCCCTCTTTTTTTTTGAGTCCCTGCAAAAGCCATCATTACTCCCACTACAGTCCCACGTACAGAACGTGGCACAAGGACCCTGTGGAGACTAACAGCAAACCAGCTCCGAGAAGCATCATTGCAGTGCGAGGTGGCAGGCTCAACCTTAGCGGGCGTCCCCGCAGAGGCTCTGCCTCCCCCACATTGTATGAGGCTTGGGCTTTTATACTGACCAAAATGCACACTCATTCCGACACAGGTGGCCAGCCTGTGCTGGAAGAAGTGGCCAGCAGTATCTACAGAGGTCTCCAAGGGTTGACAGAAACCTGGACATACTTATATTTACCAACTTCTGGTACATGAGTATCACAGAGAAACTGTATGGGCTCCCCCTGTCAATTGCAAGAAAAAAATCATAATATATACAGCTTGAGTATAAGAGGATTTTAACACATACGTGGTCACCGTTTGCCAGGCCTCCTTAACTATTTTGAGATCAAGAGCTTCCCACTCTTTAGCCCCTGCTGTGTAGTAAACACAAGATATGCAAAAATGCCCATTGCAGAAAATTCCCCAGTAATGATCACATATTTGGTTACCCATTGTTACAACTGAGCGTCTTCAGGGCCAGCAAGTCTGAGCAGACCGACCCGGGAGACAAAGAGTCAGGGTCTGGAAGCAGAGGACACAAATCTGGCTCGGATTCAGGGGACTCGGGGGCTGATCCTGCGCCGAACTCGGGGTCTCCGTTGCTCGCAGCTGTGTCTTTCTTATCAGATGTATCTCGTTCGGTATGTGGCCATCTGCAGACCTGGCTCCTCCGTGACTGAGTTAAAAGTTTTTTCACTCTAGGGCATAGTGGGTTGGAGAGGCTCACGGTTCCTTTAAGTCTCCCGCTAGCGCATGATCCCTATTTTTTACTGCGTGCTTCACAGTGGCGCTGCAATCGATTCGGCGCCGAGGCACCGCCCTCTTTCATTCGGATTCCTCGACATTTATCATGCGTATACCTTCTAATATACTTTCTCTGTCCTTTTCAAAGTCCCTACTTTCGGAACTGGGGTGGTGGGGGAGCAGGGGTTACACCTCCTCCGCGGCACCTTCTGATGGAGGGGGAGAAAAGGAAGGGGGGGGTGGGAAACCCTGTGCTCCCGCGAGTTGGGGGGGGGGGGAACGAGTTGTAATCTTCCCCCGGTTTCAACCGACCGGGGACGTCTGTTCCTAGTTTCTCCGTTGCTACCGCGGCAGTTTTCTTTTCTGCCTTGTATCTTTTTATACAGTTCATTACTTCCCTCCGTGGTTTACCGAGTTTCTTTGCCTTTTTATAATCATTAAGCACTGAGTCAAATAGTTCATCACCAAACTTTCGCCACTCACTCTCCTCAAATATTGTATTAGGATCTGCAAAAAAAATCTCTTAGCCTTCCCTACAGGCAGTAGACCTGCTAGCTGCTTTAGAGTCTCAGGCTCAATTCCCCGCTTTTATAAAAAGCACTGTAAAAAGTTCAGGGCTCAGTTCCCCGCTTTTATAAAAAGCACTGTAATAAGTCCAGGGCTACCTCTCGGTCCATTTTCATGGCCAGCCTTTTCCGGATCGTCTTCTTCTGGGTCGTCCTGTAACCTCAGTCTCCGGATCGGCCTCCCGACGCAGCAGTGTCTGGTTCACCCCAGCGGCGGATTCTTTCGGTTGATCCAAGCACCCGGGTCCGTCACGCCACCGCAGCAGCATTGCCCGCGCTGCCCGGCCGCTGCCGCCGGCGCCGCTCTCTCGCCGTTCCGGGTCCCCGTCGACCGGGGCCCTGTATCCCGGGTCCCCGCTAGTCGGGGCCCTGTATCCCGGGTCCCCGCTAGTCGGGGCCCTGTATCCCGGGTCCCCGTCGGCCGGGGCCCTTTATCCCGGGTCCCCGCTAGTCGGGGCCCTGTATCCTGGGTCCCCGTCAGCCGGGGCCCTGTATCCCGGGTCCCCGCTAGTCGGGGCCCTGTATCCCGGGTCCCCGCTAGTCGGAGCCGTATAATCCAGGTCCCCAGCGACCAGGGCCCTGTAATCCGCGTCCCTGTTCGGGCGCCATTTGTAAGCGGCGAGGAGAAGCAGACAGGCCAACCCAATATGAGTGATAAACAACTTCTGGTTTATTTGTGACGCAGTTCACACATATATAGGAGTGGTATTCAGCCACTCCTTCTTGGCACAACAGTATTGGTTAGCCCCCACAGCTTCCTCCACATTCTCCTCCCAGGTCCGGTCTCCGGCCACCTGTGGGGGCCACCCCCTGCCTTGCTTGCACAGTCCTCCAGAACTCTATGGTTCTGCTCTTAGAGTCATTCTGCAACAGTCAGGGACACCTTCCACTAGACCAGGTTGCTCAAAGCCCCATCCAACCTGGCCTTGAACACTGACAGAGATGAGGCAGGCACAACTTCTCTGGGCAACCTGTGCCAGTGCCTCACCACCCTCGCAGTAAAGAACTTCTTCCTTAATATCTAATATAAATCTACCTTCTTTCAACTTAAAGCCATTGCCCTTTGTCCTATCCCTACACACCCTTGTAGAAAGTCCCTATCCGGCTTCCTTGTAGCCCCTTTTTAGGTACTGGAAGGCTGCTATAAGGTCTCCCTTGAGCCTTATCCAGGCTCTGCAACCCCAGCTCTCTCAGCCTGTCTTTATGGGAGAGGTGCACCAGCCCTCTGATCATCTTCATGGCACTCCTCTGGAACTGTTTAAGCACATCCATGTACTTTACTGTTACAGTTTGAAAGTTTCCTTTCCATTAAAAAAAAAATAAATTCTTTTTCCTCTCACACTGGAATAAATTAAGATTTTAAGTCCATAAAATGAGAATCTGTCAAGCATTTTAAAAGGCTTAGTCACCCCAAAAGAGTACCTTTCTGAGAAATACTGAGTAAGTGAGGATAAAAACTTCTATGACTGCATTGCCTGGAACACTGACGTTTATGATATGGGTTGTACAGTATTACTCTATGCAGCTGCTGCAAAAAATATCTTACCATTATGTTTTGGTTAATTTATAGGTTGCAAACATACGGAGTTACTACGAACAGTTCTTGACATCTAGTTCATTTACATTGCAGTGCTTTTGTAATATTTTGTTCCTTGAAAATTTTAAAAAGCAATGGTCTTAAAATGGTCTTTAAACTTGACAGAAAACTATCTTTGTAAAAGTTAATTAGGAATACAACTGTCAAGTCTGTTTTAAAGAACGTGTATATTCTTGATTTCAGGTGCCTTAGAACTTGCCGATGTCTCTTCTGAGTTACCAGGTTTGAAGAGGATGCCAGGAGTTACAAAATGGAAGGTACTGCACCTCATGCTTCTGTGAAGTTCTTGGTCTGTGGTCGAGTGTTAAGTTAGGGAGATATTGAAGTTTATTTAACATTTCAAAACATAAGATTGAGCTGAAGTAATGGTAGTGATTTGCTGTTTAGAGGTTTAGACAATATAGCATTGTAGGGGAGAGGGCTAAAAACCTTTCTAATGGTAAGTTCTTACTTCCTCATCTGCTGTCATCTTTTTCCTCTAGCTTTCTTTGCTGTCTCTTGTATTTTATAGAATTCCCTTTTCTAACGTGCGCATGTGGCCTATAGGTGGCAACATAATTTCAGCCACTTTCAAGTTACCGCTCCTGCCTGTACGGCCTGTGAGTGTTAGATTTTACAGTTCTTGAGCTGGTCCGTTTGAGTTATTTGGAAGTAAAAGCTGTTAAACCCTTTCTGGAAGTCAGCAATAAAATCTGCAGTGCTGCGAGCAATCCTAGAATATTAGTGGAATTATATATTCTGTTCCACAACTTCCGTGGTTTCGGTTCTGGAAACAGACTAGCAGGGAGGAGCAAAACCCCCCAGAGCTGCTTCAGCTTCGTGATAAGAGTATAATCCAGAAGAGTAGAAGTTCTTCCTGGTAGTAGGAAAAGAAGCTCTGATGAACTTCTGATTATGAGCGAGTGCCTTAGTGACCCCATTGGTGGCTCTGTCTTCTCTCACCATTTCACTAGTCTCTTGCAATGGTAGTTGGCAGGTTTATGCCTGTCCACAAGATGCATGGAATAAAGATTTGTTTATGTTCTGCCATTGGAAATTCAGCCTAGAAACCAGCTGGTTTCTTTCTTCTGAAAGTTCTGAAAAATTAAATTTCATGCTTGTAACTGAAGGATAAATGTAAAATGCATAACTGGCTTATGATTTTAATTTTACTATATTTTTACTGCATAGAGGTACAATATATACATATATATATAAAGATCCCTAAGAGTATATCTTGTTCCCTATAATACTGTATTATGTAATTAATCTTAGACCGCAGTTACAGATACGTTCTGAATCCTGGCTGAAAATACAGGCACTACAAAATTTATGGTTCTTCAGTAACTTCCCTTGAAAACATCTTTATCATGACCTATATGTGCTATGGCAGGGGTCCATGCTTACCAAGCTGTTGTGTTGCATTCTTGGATCTTTCTTATGTAATGAAATTGGGATTCCTTGTTTGTAAACCCTTATTAGGCTGCAGTATCCTCTTGGTGTATTGCACAGAAGCTGCCTATAGCAGAATGTTTCACAGCCAGTCTTATGGCAGAAAAGTAGTGTATCTTAAATTTGATGCCTTACTAATCTTCTTACATGTTCTACCACTACTCTTCCTTTGGATTTTGGCAGTCTGTATGTTGTAGCAAGTTACCAGAGATCACTGGATTTTATTCTTCACAAGTCTGTACTTGACTACACACTTTTTGAAGCATACAAGAAGCTAAGAGGTACAGCTGGCAAGAATCTCATGTACACATACAGTGCACAAAGAAACAATACACTTTGAAGAACTTGATTTACTATACCAGAAAATAACTTGCCTTTCTTAGCATCTGAACCTTGGTTTGAATGTATTTTAATTAAAACTTGTAAAATGGTGATGCATATTCTTCACAGTATTTATATTTACTCCTTTGAAGGTAATGCTGAAAGATGGACAGTGGCTTGAAGAGTGGAAAGATGTGCCTTCAAATAGACAAACACAAATACGTCCCACTATGTTTCCTGTAAAAGATGAAGAGAAGCTGAAGGCAATGAATCTAGAGCGTTGGTAAGTTTTCCAAGAGTAGATTTTACCCTGAAAGTAAATATAAATGTGATGCTTCTAGTACTGTGAAAGCCTGAATGCTGCTGATGAATGCATTGCAACATTTTTTTCTCCTCTAGTCTTAGGATATTGCCACATCATCAGAACACAGGAGGTTTCTTTGTGGCTGTGTTAATAAAAAAATCACCAATGCCTTGGAATAAACGCCAGCCTAAGGTAACTTCTTTTAAAGGAGCTAAAATGTTAACTTTTACTAACATTTCTGGATTATTTTTGGAAAGCTTATATGATAGAAAATATACTATAACTGTTTTGTATCTGCCTTTCAGTCATAGTTCAGATTGTCAGTTAAAAATAAGTTCCTAAATCCTGTAAGAACTAAAAAAAAAAAAACAAAAAAAACCAAACAAACAAAAAAAAAAAAAAAATCTAAAAATTTTGAAATCATAGTAAAATAGCAAGGTAAAACTTGAACCCGAAGTTAAGGTTTTGAAAGAACTACAGAAGCAGATCAGGTTGGGCTGCTAGAGCTGTCACTTCCTTCGTCCTTCTGCTGAAGGCTTTTTTTCTGCTGTGTTGTAAGCAAATTCTGATTTCAGTTTATCTTACTCTGGGCTGGTTGCTCAGAAGTGATTCACCAACAGATTAGTCTAGCAGCTCAGCAGCCAGGGAATGGATATAAACCTGTTAGGAGCAGCAGCAGCTTCAGCCACCTGACTTTAATCCATTTGTTGTCAATTGTCTTTAAAATCCTGTCAACAGGATTTTAAGTTGACATGATTTGTTTGATCTCTTATGTTGCTGATATCTTTGAGAGAAACTTCTTGTTTGTACCCTTTTTAGCTGTTTCTGTTTATTTGATTTGCATCATTAGAAGTGTATGTGGCAGTAAGGAAGAAGCATTTATTCAGAAGCAAGCATCATCCAAACAGTTTATACTGTTCTAAGTTTAATGTTGTAGCACTCTTACAAAAAGGGTGCAGCAGCAAGATGTGTGAGTCATTTTGAGTGCTAGAAGGAAAGCAGGAGATCCTGACTTAAAATAGTCTTCTCTTTGAGTGCTTGAACACGATTTTGTAAATGGTACAAAAATAGCTTTCCTAAACAGTTAGTAAGAAATTGTCCAGATCAGTACTAGAGGTAAATGCAACTTGTAATGGTATCTTCATTTAGTAATCAGATTAACTCCCTAAATGGATCTGTTTAAGTCCTTACATACAAATTGATAAGCATTAAGTACGTGCAAAGAGAGAATATAGGTACCTCTTACTACAACTTAGACACTATTTCTGCTTTGTTGAAAATACTGCAATTTGAAATAGGCTCATCAGAAATTACCACAAAGAACAGGAGATGCTGAAGTGACAGCAGCCAATTCAGATAATGGTTCTGAACATATTACTGAAGAACTAACACTTGATGAAAATGAAGAGTCTAAGAAAAAGCAAGAATTGCAGAATTCAGACACTGAACAAAGCAAAAAGGAAGGAGTATGTGGGTAAGAGGCCATGTCTCAGTATTTGTCCTATGACAGATTCGTAATTGCTGAGTATTCTATAGTTCTTTTGTTACTGGACTCATTTAGAAGTCGATCAAGAAGAATAAATTAATTTGATCAGTTGTCCTTTATTTCCACATTCTCTGTTTTGTATTTCAGCAAGTTAGGAAAATAACTACTTTTCTTGCTAGCATTTGTAAAGTCTGTTAGTCCTTTCTTCTCTGTTAAGGAAAAAAAAAAAAACAACTTTCAGAAGTTAACCTTTGGAAGATCTTTACTGTCTTCACAATTACTCCCTCAGAAATATCTTTTTACCATTTCTACGGTTTCTGTTCTCAAGCATTGCTTTCACTTCTTAAAATGAGGAAGTTAAATTGTGGGTAGTGTTTTCTTAATAAAGCACAGGAAAACGTCAGTATTCTGCTTGGTATATTATCGTTACCATAAGACAAATGTTGACTAAATGAACTGAATATACTGAGTTTAAACCGGCTACTTTTATTAAAATTGAAACTGCAGTGGCATTTTCTTTTCAGACCACCACCATCTAAAAAAATGAAGTTGTTTGGTTTTAAAGAAGACCCTTTTGTGTTTCTCCCTGAAGATGATCCATTGTTCCTTCCTATCCAGTAAGAAAAAAATGTTTCTGTTTTGGCTGTAAGATTTCTAGTAGTTTAAGAATATCAGTAGTTCACTTCATCACAAAAGATGGGCCCAGCTAGTCATACATAAAACTTTTCCCTGACTTTGCACCAGGTGCCCCTCTCTTCAACACTTAAAACTGTTATATGAAAATAGCCAACTCTAGTTTGCACTGGAAATTTTCAAGTGTATCTTCATGTCTGTGACAGCTTGTCTTTTCTGATGTCATGCATCTTAGAAAGTCTAGCTCTGGAGCCAGAGTTAAGTGTTTGCAGAGATAGCTTGAGGAAATGGGCTGAGCCATGCATTTTGAGTATGTAATTTCATTGCTTAGTTAATCAAAACAAGTATTATGGCCACAGGAAGTTTTATGCATTGGACCCATCATTTCCCAAGATGAATTTACTAACCCGAACTCAAGAAGGAAAGAAGAGACAGCTGTACATGGTTTCTAAGGAGCTAAGGAATGTGCTTCTGAACAACAGTGAGAAGATGAAGGTATGGTTCATCTCTTCATGTTTTCACAACAGAGATTATAAACATCAGTGAATGTCGCCTTGAACTTTATTGCAGATCTTGTTGTTTATATAGATTAGCCCTCTGATAGGCCTTGTTTGCGTTGGTTTTTTTTTTTTGTATGTATGTTTTCTTCAAGAGATGAGGAGTTGTCTCTGAGAAGTAAATAACGCTCTCCAAGGTTAAAATCGGTATGTTTTTTGGCAGATGCAAGGGAACTTAAGAATAGAAGAAGGGAATCTATAACTGCTGTGTGTATACCGGCGTTTTTGCATGGTCTTCAGCTACTTTCACAGGTTTACATTAAGGCTGTTGTATTTATGAGCCCCTTAATTATAAAAGTATTAAGAGCTTTGAAACCTACCAAAAATAATAGTTAACTTCAGCTGAATTATTAGCTGGCTGTGTTACATGGGGACATTGTTTAAATAATTTTAACTACTGAACATTTTGGAAAGTTATTAAGCTGAATGGTAATGGGATAAGAAGTATTTTTTGTGAATTAGAGGGGAAAATTTTATATATATTTTTTTTTTTATATGACTCCCCATAGAAAATGCCTTGCAAATGCTAAAGATTTGTCTGACAACTTGTTGAATAATGTAAGTTAGAATGGGGATATCTAGTCCAGCTTCCTTCCTGCCCCAAGCAGAGCTAACTTCAAAGCTAGGTAAGAGAGTTCAGGGCCTCGTAAAATCAAATCTTGAAGGTGTCCAAAGATACTCATTGCATCTTTGCAGGTCTTTGAGATGGATAAATAATTACGCTTTTATCTAACATATAGGAAGTGGCTACATAATGCACCAGTTCCTTAAAGTTTTGTCAGTTATGTTAGGTAGTGAGACTCTGGGTACTGCAAAGGATGTCGTGTCCTAATATTAAGCACTTGTGCACTTTAAAAATCCTGTCTTGATCGACCTTCCCAGAATCACCCAGAAAATTCTTTCTCAAAATTAAAATTAGATCTTAATAGTTCTGTGCCCTCATTTTAAGACTGCCACTTCTTCACAGTGTTCAGGTTTAAACATGAAGAGGAGTAAAAAACGTTTATGTTGAGAGAGAATTGTGTTTTGATAGCAGGAATTCCTTTTTCCCTTGAATTAATTTTCACATGAATTTAATTTAGTGTCCAGTGCAAATGAACATTACAGCAGAATTATTCTTTATTCCTTCTTTTAGTGAAAACAGTTGAGAAAAAGCAAAGTTCAGAGTGGTAATTTAGAATTTATACTCCTTAATGATAATCTTTGGCTTTGCCATTTGCAGGTTATTAACACAGGGATAAAAGTCTGGTCTCGCAACACTGATGGGGAACAGTTTGGATGTGCGTTCAGATTAGCACAAGAGGTAATTTCAGAATGTATTTTCAATGGAGATACTTTCATTTCTCCTAAAGCCTATAGCACAGCTGGCATTAACTTTGTCAGATTAATGACAATTAGCATTTTCAGTATGGTTTAAAATGTGAAAATTGTTTTCTGACATTAGCTAAAGAAAATACTGGTTTAACAATTTTCTTCAGAAAGTAGAGATTGCAATTTGAAATAATTACATTTATTTATTAAACAGGGAATTTATACTCTGTACCCATTCATTCATGCAAGGATTATAAATGTCTGCATAGAAGATGTTAAAATTCTGCTAACCCAGGAAAATCCATTCTTAAGTAAATTTAGCAGTGAAACACAGAAGAAAGTCAAAGACATGGGTAAGCCTTCTAATTTGTGCTATGACAAAAGTATTGTATATACATATTGTATATATTTATATATATGTAACATATATATATACACATATATATTTTTATATATAATGTAGTATAATATATATATTTTATATATATATAGAAAAGACTATGAGAATCCTGCCACATAAACTGCTAAAAATTTTGGCTAGATTTATCTTAAATATACTTAGTAATTAAGTAAGTAAGCATTATGGAAACCTAGCGTGCTACTACAAACTGTAGTCCTTTCTGATCTCAGCCTTTAACGTTTATGAACTCCAGAGAACAGAAGACACCAAACTTGTGACTTCTGTGGCACAGTGGTGTGAGGCAGCATTTAAAATACCTTATGACCATAGATTTTATATATGCTACTGATATTTATGTGTTAGTGCTCCAGCTGAAACTGTTTGTCATCTGCAGTTGTTTATCATTATTTTCTGTATCAAATTCAGTTATTCAGGTTTTTATTTTCTTAAATATGGGGATCAATGTCTAGTCATAATAAGTTTTTATTTCCTTTGTGCTGCATGCTTGAAGAAATGGAAGGCTGGTTTTCTGTCTTTTGTTTATGTTTATTTCCAAATCATCGCTGGTCCTTGTACTTCAGTGTTTGATGAGATGAAATGGGAGGAACAATTGTTCTAAAGTTTGGGCTGGTATACTCTTAATGTTCATTTTACTTAAGTGAAAGTGGCTTCCTAGGTTCACTGAGTAAAGTAATCCGCTACATGTTTTTTTAGTTTGATTTCTTTGTTTGTGTGGGAGCAGGGTTAGCGGTTGCTTTTGTAATTATAGAAACACTTTGGTCTGGAGAAAAAAAGACAAAATAAAAAGATTAAAACTGATAACTGTCTATAGCTCACTGTACTGACATAGATAACTGTTAACAGCTCGTACTTTGTGACTGTCTAAAAACTTGTTTTCTTGAACATTTTCAAATTGCAGTAATTTTAACATTGTACCAAGTAAGTCATCTGTTTTGGTTTTGTTCCCCCATCCCCTTCCCTTTCCTTGTAGCAATGGGAAGTATAGTTCTGAAGTACGACCCAGACCCTGCGTAAGTAGATGTGTTGCTTTCTGTTGATGCAGTTTTATAACTTAGACAAGAATTTTTCACTCGGCCAAAACAGAAGTGGAGGCATAGAGGGGCTGTGAGGCCAACAGTAGCACCAGACAGGATACAAAGAATATAACAGGGAAAGAAGCTATCTTGCTTGTGTATTCTTAAAACAGCTGTAGGGTTTAGCTTTATAAAGGAGAGCTAGTAGTTCTGCCAGAGGTTCACAGTATCATTGCATGTGATTTGTGTGCATGTTTGGTTGGTTGTTACCCTGTGGAGTCCAGTATTTGGAATAGAAAAAGCTAAACTTTTTTGTTGTTCCTGTTTCTTGTAAAGTAGTATTAGAAGCTCTTGAGAACTTTTAAAATGTAAGCTTTCATCTTGCTGTTGCTTATATTGGTTTGAAACCAGAGCTAGAAAATTGTTTTGCCTGTTGCAGAAATTTAATAACATTGAGCTTATTTGTTTTGCTTGCTTGCTTGTAAACAGCCAGGCGTCTGTTTAGATATTAAGTAAGTTAAGTTTAGATATTATAAGTTAAGACAAATTTACTTGTCTTCTGTAATTACTTATAAAATGCATTCAGTGTTAAAGATTGTGCACTTAATGTACGTGCAGACAGGGTATGGCTATTAAGTTAAGTTTTGAAGATTAACTTTCTCATAGTCAACTGAATGTAACTGCTTGTTTATAGGAAACCTGATGATCTTCAGTGCCCTATACTGCTGTGTGGTTGGCAAGGGAAGACATCACTCCGTGCCTTTGTGCCCAGGAATGAGAGACTTCACTACCTGAGGATGATGGGAGTTGAAGTGTTTAAAGCAAAGAGGAAAGATGAGGAATCGAAAAGTAAAGCAGAGGAAGAAGTTCAACATAGGCTGGCACAAACAGAGGAAGGAATGGATGTAGAAGACAAAGAACATGATTTAGTCACAAAAATGGAAGCAGAAATAGGTGAAGAATCTTCCCACAGTCCTGTGGAAAACAGTGCTATGGAAGTAGAAAATAAAATCGAGGATTTAGGTCAATCTGGTAAAAATGCCAATAGTCATGTAATTCAGGAAAGCAAAGACACAGAGAAGAGTAATGTGAAAGATTAGGTTTCTTTCTCTGTTACTTGGCAGCTTCTGTGAGGCTGACATCCAGACTTGTGCTTTTAGCATGGAAGTGTATTTTAAATTTTCATTCGGAATGGGATGTTCCTCTTTTAAAGTTCCACCTATTTTATTTTTTAAGCGAATACTATATATAAAGATATTTCTTTTCAAGTGTGTCTTCTTTTTACCATTTTAAGCTCTCTATTACTGGTGGGTTTCTGTGTCTGTTGCTGGCAACAGACCACGCGCCAGTAAAAGCTAAAGCCCATATTTGAAATGGAATAGTGGTATGTACAAACAAACTACCTGTGTAACTGATCGAGAATTCCTCCAGAAGAAAACACCTGTTTCTTTCAAAACACATTAGTCCTGGAACAACAGTTTTCTCTTAATATTGCTTACTCCATCTACCACCCAGTCTGATGACTACTTACACAGGTTCTTAAATGGGTAAGGGAATCAGTGTGAGTATGCATAAAAATGCATGTATAGGATAAATAACTGAGAACCTGGTTAACAAAACCACGCATCTGGAAACAAAAATGCAGAACACATTTTGCCGGAGACTGATGTTTGAAATTCTTCTTCAGAGTGACAAATTTCTTGACAGGCACAGCTAGTGAATGTTGTTTACTAGATCTTCAGCTATGCTGAGCATACCTGAGACTTGTACCTTGAAATGTGCCTGTTTTAAAAGTCTGTGACTTTCCTTCAAATCTGCTGCAGTCATCTGTTTCTCCATCATTTCTTCAGTTGCGAGTAATCTCTGATTTTGCAACATACTTGTTTATAGCTGAAATAACAGTTTAAAAAGCCCTGTGGAGGTATAAATGTTGTTGTATAGTAAATGTCTAAAAGAGGTTATTTAGGTGCAGAAGGGTAATTTACCTAATCTGACTTTGAAAAAAATAGTGGCTACCTCAGAAACTTATAAATTCCATCCTTTGTGGCTTAGTTTCGGCAGTACTCTTTATACTTGTATCAAGTGGACCTGAAAGGAAAGTGACCCAAGGTACAAGGCATTGTCCTTCTGTAGGACAATGCCAATCACATGGTGATGCAAATATTTGTGTTGCTTGTCAAACTGAGTTTCACCATGTTTATTTTTACCAATGACGTCCTAATGTGGCTCGGATCCATTTGCTGTACCTTGCTACAGCACTTTGTGATGCTTGCCCTTGAAATACTTCATCAGAGGGAGTATTCTTAAGGGAGGGATGTAAAAGTGAAATAATGGCATGTCCTCTGATGAGATATGCAGTGAAGACCCATTGACAGGACTAGCTTCCTCTTGAGAGTCTGTAAAATAGGTTAATAAAACATCAGTTCTTGCCCTTGTACTTTGCTAACGTCTGAGTTTGTTCTTTCAATCAGGAGCTACAATTGGACAGGTGCCTTTTTGGCAGGTCCTTAGGCTGAAGAGAAGCATAGGAGAAATTTCTTTTGAATCGAGGTATATGCAGAGTACAATTTCTAATTCTGACAAGTGTATGAGGAAAAAAAAAGCAACTTGAAACTTCAGGCATGAAACATCACTGCATTTATTCTGGCATTTGAAGTGGAAGACCAGGATCATTTTTAAATCCTCATCACCATCACAGTCTGCAGTACTCAACCCTGAGGATGACTTGATTTTAATCCATCTAATCTTTTTATGCTGTAATAATCTCCATAAATTGCTAGAAGGTCAAGTGTTAAAACTCATGTGAAGAAACCAGAATTAAGTTTTTGAATTATGCCTGTATCTACTGATGTGCCTTAGCAGCAGTTTAAGCTTTGTTTCAGTCAGTGGCTCTGCTAAGGATACAAGTTTATGACAAGCTGATAAGAATACTTGTGATACAGACAATCCAGACAAATCACCAAAAGCTAAGAACTTTATAGAAAATAAAGAATCTTGTTTTTTTATGGACTGAGCTTACCACTGGCAGACTAAAATGAGAGTAGAAAGATTTTATCTGGGCAGTAAAGAAAAGTAGCTTATTGGATCATAAACTAGCTGGAATTGGGTATAACTTAGACTTGTCATAGAGTAAGAGCCTGCATCTGCATCATTTTAAATCCTTTGAATAGTTCCATTGTCCTGCATTATCTGGCTTTTTTTTTTGGAGTTGTTTTTTTTTCCTGTCAAGTGCAAGTGGGAGATTTCATCAGGAAACCGGGAGGGTAATTTTCTTGTGCTGATGAGCAGTTTTACTCCTTATCTCAAAAAAACCCCCAGAGATTGAGGTTGCTTACACCACTTGCTCTGTCCCAGTTAGTCTTGCCTTTACTGCCAGAAAGGAAAATGTCCAAAGCTCTACATGGTGGCTGAAAATGCTGTCCTAGCTTCTTGGGCTGGGAGCCTGATGAAACAGGGACTGTTTTGTTTGTGTGTCTCTGCTATGTCCTGCTGCAGCTTTGATGGTCAGGTGCTGAACCTCTGCTTTGGTGGTTTTGAATGTGGGCTGCTGCAAACGAAAGGCAAAAGAGAATGCGCAATCAAGTTAAGTTTGAAAATGTGAAAGTCTTAAAAATCACTAGGTTTAAAGTTCACTAAGTCCATCCTTGTAAGCAGTCCCTATTAAAGATTTAAAGTCCAAAGATTCCTGTAGTTAGCATTGCTGGTTTTTGGACTCTAGATGTTTGCACTGATGGAGGGGGGTTCTGTATGTGATTGAGGGGGGAGCAAGAAAAAGTTTCCTGCATTTAAATGGTGTGATTATGTTCTACTTAGAGATGTCCTTAGGAGAAGCAGCTGGAGCCTTCAGAAGATAATCTGTTGACTGAAAAGCCTAGAATGAAAAGGAGGGAAAACACCACGTGCAATACTCCTTTGTAGCTTTTTCTTTAGGATTTATCTAAAGGTAGTAATTGCTTTGGAAGGTTGTTATAATTTTCAGACTTTAGATTGATGCAAAATCAATATACAGTAGTGTAGGGCCACTGAAGTGATTTATTTTTCTCTTCAATGTCTGAGTGCTATTAGAAGCCAATGAGACTTCTCAATGTACACAGGCCCCTTGAAAAACTCCTGCCTAAATCTTCAGAGTTAACCTTGGCAGTGAAAGAAAGCAGGTTAGTTCCTGGAACAATCCCTGTCTGCGGCTGCAGCACAGGGAAATCAGTGCATGCGTTTCTTCCAGTGGCAAAACTCCACCCCGGAAAGCAAGCAGTGCTGTGCTCGTGCCATGTTGCTGCTGGAGCTGAGCTTGGCCCGTGGTCTTGCCCTGCTGCCTTTCCAGGATCAATCCTGTAAACAAGGCCCAGCAAAGCGGTGTGGGTACAACAGCAGTTCTGTTGTTCCCAGCAAACAGGCCTGTTTGCTCTGAGCTTTGTCCAGATCCATCTTGAAAATGTAGGAATTCTCAAGTGGTGCACAAAAGGTGGTGCAAGCACCATCCAACAATGCTCCAACTGTCTGGACAAGCTCTTCTAGCCCTTAGCCATTCTTACAGGGAAGAAGTTTTTTCATGTTCCCATTTTCCCTGCTACAGTTGCTGCCTGTTCCTCTTGTCCTGTCACTGACTGTGTACCCTTTGGAAAAGTTTGGCTCCATCTTCTCTGTAACCACTTGTTGGGGTGTTGAAGAGAGCAGCTGAAACCCCTTTAACCATTTTCTCTAGGCTGCACAGACCTAGCTCTCTTCTCCCCTCTTCATCCATCATGGATTGCATCCTCCTAGCCATCTTCAGTTCACTGGGAAATCTAATAGAGGACCTATGCTTGATACAGTCCTGCAGATACAGCCTCACAAACAGTGAACAGAGGGGAGTAATCACTGTCCTCAAACCCATAGCGACTTCATGAGCATTTTAAATTTCAGGAAGTATATGCTGCTGCATTTACTCTGGAATATTCTTGGTGGATTTCCATGCCTTGAAACTTCATTTTCATATTCTGATTTTTGAGATCGCTGTTCTCTTGATGGCACAAATCTGTGCAGCTGTTCAAAATGTGCCAGTTGACTGCACAAGAGGATACAGCCAGCACTGTGCAAAGTTCTCTTGAACTGAAAGAGAAAATAAAATGAAATGCAAAGATTTTTCAGTAATCGTTGCTGAAGGGCTTTTTGTGTGGTGACACACTCGTGATGAGACTGTAAATTACTCTGATGATTTTAAAAACTATAATTAATGTGTGGATCATATTTAATGCAAAGCTGCGTACCTCTTTTCCACCTCAAAATACTTATCTCTTAATGCAGAAAAGGCCTGGAACTCATGGGAATGCCACATGATCTCCACTTAGAGAAGCAATGCATTGTTCTAGAAATACAGGCTATGGAGGCAGAAAAGATGCTTCTCATCTCTGACTGCAGTATAGAGTGGAGCCAAAGGGCATGACTACATCATGATAAAAAAGGAACAGCCAGAAGCTCCCAGCTTCGTCCACTGCCTACACACATATGTCCTGCAGGCAAAGAGTGTTTGAGTGCTTTGAGTCTTGCTGTCTGGGTCGGTGTGTAATGGATCTGCTCTCGGGGACAGTTACTGGTGATGCAGCAGTGCAAACTGCTTCTGATCCCCTCTTCTGAGGTCCTGTCTGGGTTTCTGAGCGGGGCTCTCCACCTTATCTTGAAATCCCATTAAACCTGTAAGTTAGGATTTCAGATGGCGCAGCTTCTGATCCTGAGCAGGGCTGAATCCACCCAACTTCTTCCCCCTCCTAGAAAAGAGAGAAACTCAACAGAAAGTACAACTATGATAGAATGACGGATGGAAGATACTGTGTTTTCTTAGGTTTGGGCTGGTGCTAAGAGGCCTCTGGATAGCCCAGGAATCCAGAGTATGTGCATCATTTGGTGTAAGGCCCTCACAGTGCTCACAGGTCTCTGTTAGCAACAGGTTACTTATCACACTGATGAAAAACCTCTCTAAACTACAGAGAAAGAGGAGCTCTTACCTCTTTGTATTTGCACCTTCTCCCACAGATAACATGAGGAGCCGCCTGTTAGTGGCCCAGATATCCACCTTTTCTGATGAAAGCTCCCTCTGTCCTCTGTAATGTAATTTCTTAGCACCTATAGGATCTTAAGCAGGAATCCACAGAAGCAGTGAGTTGACACCTTCATCCTGAATGGCTGTTCACAAGGACAGAAAGAAACCAGCCTCCCACTTTCCAAAATGGTTGAACATTGCCACTTTTCTTGTGAAACTTTAATTGCTGCTATGGACATTATAACACCTCTTTGAGTTCTGCAGTGCCAAATCTGTCATTTGCATACACGCAGACCTTATGGTGGTTACAGTAAGCTTATTTTTCATGCATGTCTCTATATCCTACCATTTCCTAGCTTTCAGGGCTTGGTTTTGTTTTGAGTGTAGAGGGACAAGTACACTCATCTGATCTGAAGTGGTCTTAGAAATATGTGTTCCTCTACACCTTAGTAATACATTTGCAAGGCGTGGGGGGGGGGGAAGTTTAAATTGGTTGCTGCAAAATCAGCTTAAGTTACCTGGATCTGTATTTTTTTATTGTTTTGGTAAAAATAATTCAGGGCTTGTAGAAGGTGCCAGATTGACAGCCTTGAAGTTAAGCTGATCGTTTCGTTATTTCCCAGCTCCTTTCTTCCAGCCTTTCAGACATCTGCTCTTTTCTAATCTCCCATAACTCAGTTTTTCAGATGACTGCTAAGGCTTCTGAGACAGCGGAAGCCACATCTCTAGGCATCCTTAGGTAATGCTTATCAAGGCTGTATAATTTGAAGATGTCTAACTTATTTATTCCGTTAGGTCTAACATTTCATTACTCTCTATCTGGTTCTTTCTCTGGTCCCTCAGACCTTTTCACTAAGACTATGTGCATGAACAGCCCCATCTGTTTAAAGGGATAGCTTGTCTTTTTAGATATGTTAGTTACTATTTAGAGAGGAGAGATTCAAAGGGAGCAATAGGCAGTCAGCTTGAAATCAACTGCTCATTCCTTTCCCTTGAATCTATTTATCAGTGTTTTCTTCGGGCTGTTCAACAAGGTAAGAACAAACTGCAGAGTGATTTCTTGATATCCTGTAGTTCTCTTGCCAAATTGAATCTCATTTCTCACATATTTCTTCCTTAGATGTATGTATTCTTTTACATTTACTTTAGTAAATAGAAGAAGTTTTCATTCTTTTTATGGGTTCTTTTTCTGATTAAAAGTCCACCAGTGAGGGACCACCAATGTGGTTAGGAGGTTGGAGCCCATGGCCTGTGAGGCTGGGAAAAATGGGTTTGTTCAGCCTGGAGAAGAAATGGTAGGTAAGATCTAATTGCTGTCTTCTAGTAAGTAACAGGTGGCAATAGAAAAGACAAAGCCACTTCTCCAGGCAAAGTGGTGGGACTCATAGCAAAGGACAGAAGATGCAGCAAGGGACGCTCCA